GCAGGGATTAAAGCCATAAGGAACTTTTCTCCAGCTACTCGTGTCTTTTGGAGTCCTGAATCTGTTGAAGCTGGTCAGAAGATTGCTGCCCTTGTCCAAGCTTACTCTCCTAAATGAACTCCATGATGATCGGCCTCTTTTTATGTTTATTTTTGTTTTTAGGCCCATGATATGTGAATTAAAAGAACTGGTTATCTTCTTTAGGACTTATGTTGTCCTACTTCAATAGTCAACTAATATTTTCTCATCTTCTATTTTCTGGCTCCACTTTTGTAATTATCCATGCTGTTTCTTTTATATTATGTGGACGATTCCGATTCTCTTATGGTGGGAATATTTAGTGTTGATATGAAGAAGTTGTGGCAGTGTTTCACTTTTCTCTTTCTTCTACTATATTGTGCTTTTTAGTCTTTTATTTACTCCCATGTCCAGCATATAATTATCCCAAACATTGCAAAGCAACGCTTCAATTGCTCCTTTTTCACCTTAATTTTCAGTCTTCAAGTTTCATATTTTTCCTGTGTCATTAATTTCATTTTTCATCTAAATTTTAATGACCACTTTAATTGTGTGCCTTAATATACAATATGAAGTTAATGAAATGCCTTACGTATAATATTTTGCGTCATACTCATTTACTTCTAGAAGTCTTTATATGATTATATTAGGCAAATGCATTTAGTATACTTTTATATGCTTTTAAAATAAATATTTTATCAAAATATTTAATTAAACAAGATAGTCTTTTCAAATTTTGACGTAGACCTTTTGTTCATCTTACTGATAAACTTTTTCTTCACATTTTGAGAGAATTTTTACATTAAATAATTATCACATTTTTAATTGGTAAGGGTCACTAAAATCTTTTATTTTTTGTTATACCCACTGACGGTTATAATTATTGACAAGGGCCACCAAGATGTCTTTTTTTTTTAATGTTTTTCTAACTATTTCTAAACTATCAATTCTTTTGTTTGGATTGATATACAAGATAAAGCGAATCAAACAATTTTATTATTTGGCAATTTTGTATTCCATTCTTTTTAGGACTGTTTAATGCCTGTCATTTTCGTCAAAGGCCACCAAGGTGTTTTATTTTAAATTTTTTTTTTCTTGCTTTTTGTTTAGCTGAATACTTATGGAGTTTTTAATTTTTCATTTTACATTTATGGAGTCTCGATTTCAATGATTCAATTTAATTGTCTTCATTTTTGTTCAGATGAATAGTTATTTCATTTAATGAAGTTGTCTATCTGTCAGTAAAATTAATTTTCCCATATCACCACTGTTTGGGATACTCATTGCTACGCGCTGCTTCTTCTTGCCTATTTTCTGATCACCACTGTCATTAGTAGACATTCTTTCTAATCACATTAATAACATTGGAAAAGCATTTGTCATTGCCGTCTAACTCTTGTACGTTAACCAAAGCAAGGTCAACATCTGATTAATTGATCAGCATAATGATTTTTGTTCTCTACACTTCACTGTCATTCTCCCGTCTCATATGCCTCGGTTTTATTTTCATTTCCCATTATAACCTTCTCTTCAGCTGACCCAGACAATTAATTTCACTCGAATTTTTGTCGGATTCATTTTATCTTTCTCTCACCTCTCTATATATATTTCTCATATCGTCTAATATATCTGCTCATCACATCCATTCATCGTTATATCATCATTTCATTTTAAATGCTAAATGGCTAATCCTGGTTACTCATTTCTTGATGCCATACGTCCCGGTATTGATGGCTGGAGAATTTGCGTGCGTGTGGCTCGTGTCTTTGTCCATAGCTACCCATACGCAGGTCATTTCTGGCATGGTTTCTTCAGGAGACTTCGCTCCCTAGATTTTGTCCTTATTGACCACAAGGTTTATGTTAAAGTCTCTTCATTTTTCATTATGTTCACTATTCATTTGAGCTTTCTTTCCAGTATCATCACTTGCAGGAACCTTTTTTATGTTGTTTCATATCTCAGGGGAATCGCATGCGCGCTGTCATCAGTCAAGAACGCCTTGTGGAACGTTTCCTCAACTTGATAACTGAGGGCAACTGTTATCTCATTACTAACTTTGATGTTGCATATTGGGGAGATGAGGTGCACCATCAGTACCAAATTCGTTTTCATTCCAGGACCACTATTGAGGAATGTCGTACTGCACTTCCAAATTACTGCTTCAAGTTTGTTAACATTGGATACTTGAAGCGAAGCTTTACACTTGAGAGACAATGCTTCGGTTGTCCTTTATTATCAATGCATTTTGCTTCTATTCGCAGTATCAGTTTTTTTCCTCAACCTTTCATTTATGCAATTTATCAGCCCCTTACATTATCTTTTCATCATTTCCTGCACGCGTACACCTTAATCTTATTATTGATCTTTATATTTTACAATAGATGTGTATGGAAAGCTGATTCAAATTCATCCTTTAGAATTGGTTTGGAAGGCTGCAGACTTAACTTACCAGCTTATCCTAACCGTGCAAAATCCACAGTAACCTGACTTCTTTTACTTTTATATCATTTATTGCTTAAGCATTGTTTCTTGTCTAACTTTAAGATGCTATATCTAGGCTTGAGCAAATTAAGTGCTACTTGTATGGAGAGAGTGCCATGGTTGCAGCTCACGAGTTCAAGTATCACCTCAACAAGGATCCACTAATAGTTATTATCCTCTTTGCTCTTGAAACTGTTCATGGAAGTGAGTGTATCATCAATTTGACATTTTGCCTAGCCTTCACTTCCTGTGTTGCTTATCTGCTTGTCATATGTGTCAGCTGAAATTGTATTGACAAGCTTTTCAACTGCTACGAGAGTTATCTTTGACCCTCACATGGAAGAATTTTCTGAGTACAAGATGGCCATGACAACTAATACTCTAGCATCTGCATGAAGAACTATGTACAACAGACACTGAATGAATGTCTTTTGTTTTCTTTTTGGGCATTGGCTTCATCCACAGATCACTTTTGGACTTTTTGATATGTAGCTCAATAGTATAGACTATAGAGCTCTTTGTCAAAATCTACTTTACCTTGTCTGTTGTACCTATTTGTGGATTTCTACCAAATGATGTTAATATAATTAATGACAGCTTATTCCTCTATGGTCTTCATTGTATTGTATACTCTTTGGATGTTTGATTTCTTTCTGGCATTTTATTCTTAGTCACCACTTCCTTGTGGAATATAATGTTAAGGTCCTAGAATTTATATTTCATCATTTAATTGAATATTAAGTGTATACCTTACAAAAAATCTTTAACATGACAGCTTTGACATAAACACTTGTCATTATTTCAGCCAATATGAATGTATACAGCAAAGACCCTCTACAAAGATCTTCTTTCTTTCGTCCTTTTCTTATTTTGTACTTCAGTTGCACCCAAAACTTTAAGGCCTCCTTCAACTTGCATTAATAATATTAATTTCCATTACAAATATTTATTTTCTCTTCTAATTCCTTCCAGTATCCTTTTGTTGCAACTTTGAAAGGAATGTAATTAAATGCTTCCTATTTAAAAACATTAATGTTTACTGCATCTAAAATGTCACTTGCACATTATACATTATTTCTGCAATTTCACTCCTAAAAATGGATATCAGTCCTCTTCATTTTCGTCAGATTTCCATCTTAACCATTTGTATTTTTAATTCTTCCTCAACTTAACAATCAATTTATAGTTATTTCATCATGATGCTCCTTTGGATGTCAAGTTATTGAACATCATGACAACTAAATTTAATAACACCATATTTGAACTGAATTATGTATACACCTAGATATGACAGCACACGTAACTTCTCAGCATACTGTTTTCTACACAAACTATAAGTAAATGATATTTATTCTCAATACCTGTGCTTTTTTTAGTGTCTTATTTTACTTTATTTGCCCATCATTTCTTTTTTTAAACAAATCTTTTTTAAATAAATTAGATTGTGCCATTATACTTCAACTATACTTCTCACTTTCCAACTAACTAAAGTTCTTTTTGTGTTTGCAATTTTATTTGTTTCTGTTTCAAACCAACTAAACAGTCCATTTTGAATTTATCATCCCATCCTTAGTCACAAATATATTCCACTCCATAATCAATCCTCTCTTCTCAGCCTTATCAACTATCACTTCACCTCCACCTCTGCACAACCAGTCTCATCATTCCTACTGACATTGCTTCATAATTTAGCCGCCTATAAGTCTCTATTATGTTTACCTTGTAAGCTTCTTTCAGAGGTCCTGCTAAGCAAGACGGCTAAACTTCACTTCTTCTCAGTACACAATCCACTGTAATGCCTTTTTCAATCAGTAACTTATTTCTTCAGTAGCAGAGGGCACATTCTCAAATGTCTGAATCATTGCATTAGTTCTTGGAATTACACCAAATCAACTTTTATTTCTAATTACTACACCAAGCTACTAAATTTTATATTCTTTTAAAAACAAATTACTCTTCTGAAGTCTTGAATCCCAGTATTTTTGTCTTCTCCAAATGTGCAGCATGTTCATCCTCTTTCATGTCCACATGTACAATAGCTTTCATTAATGAATTCAAAATTATCTGTGCTTTCACATTTTTCATCCTTCCCGCCTACCCAATTTATGTTGTTACTCCTTTCCAATCAACTAAATCATGTAGCAGCGCCAACTTTTCAAACATGCTATCAAAACTTTCAGTTTTACCGCACATTTTTCACCTACTACAATCCACTACTGCCTCCTGACCTTCTCATTTGTTCTTCAGTTCTGCCTATATATATCAGCTCCTGATTCCTTATTTCTCTACCTCTCAAGAATCAATTTCTATCTTTACTTGTAATTGCTTTTTGTTCTGCTATATCCTTCTGTGATTCCTAAGTTTTATTTTATACACTTACTTTCCAAAGTCATTTCTTTCTTCCTCTCATGAAGAAATATTCATGCACCATTTTATGAAATTATTTATTCGCTAATTCAATTCTCTGATGCCTTCTTTTATGCAGTTTCAGTATAATTACCATGGCTACTGAGGACTATGAACTGGTCAAGACTATTGATGACACTAAAGAAGCTTCCTCCCTTATTGTTAGAGTGATTAGGAAGTGGTGCCAGCTCTATAAGAGTCCCCCTCATCATTTAGCATGTATTATGTTCGTTTTTATAGATGAAGAGGTAAGATTAAATGTTTTATCTTTCATGCTTTATTGTCCTATCTTTCTGAATTTAATATCTTCTCCATTCCTCATTCAAGTATCTATCATGAACAGGGCAATAAGATACATGCTGAAGTCACAAACAAACAACTTCATGAGCAGTATAAGCGAGAGCCATCTGAAGGAGACATCATTTACATTGAAAATTTCACAATTTCACCTAACACATGGCCTTATAGACCCACATCTCATCCATGGAGGCTGCAGTTCCATCCTAACACTTACATTAGACCTCATGATGCTGAGCTTCCACGCAATTCATTCAACTTTGTCTGTTTTACAAAACTTCACGAGGACATGAAAAAAAAAGAACTTAACACTGAAGTTCTTATTGGTTTGCTTCTTTTTACCTTTCAATATTATCGTTTTCATTTCATTGAAACAACTAAACTGCTATTTTCCTCCCTACAGATGTCATTGGCTTTTTGAAATCATTTGGTGATCTGATAGACTCAAGGACAGATAATGCAGCACAAAATCGTTTAAGCTATACTTTAGCAGATGAAGAGTAGACTATCACATATTTCTCTATACCTATATTTTGCTTTTAACCCTATTATGCATGTGCCTTAGTTTCTTTCTTTCATTAATATTTGTATCCAGGGATGTCACTGTTAACTGCTTATTATGGGGAGAGACTGCAACACAAACATATTGGGCCAAGCAGGATGACATGGACCCACCAATTATTGTATTGATGCAATTTGCTAGGATCAGTGTGAAAAATGGTTTTGCACGCCTTAACTTTCCTTACTCTCTTATTTATTTAGCTTCTCATCAGTTCTTTACTTTTATGATCTATACTTTTTAGTCCATCTATGAAATGTCTTCCAAGTGCTTCTGCTATTTCTTATCTTTGCTGTGCTATTTCTATATGATTCCTTTATTGATTAATATAAATTTTAACTAGGAATTTTGCAACTGTCAAACTCCTACACTGCTACTAGGATCACCTTTAACCCTGACATTCCAGAGGCAAAGGACCTACTTGAAAGGTGTAATGCCTTTCATTCTGCTGTTATTATTTCTAACTACAATATAATAATGCTCTCCATTCTAATAACAGCAACAACAAGAATAATAATTAATTGAATTGAAATGTTTCCATATTGTATAGGCTTCAACAGTCAACAAACACATCATCTCTTAGCTTTACACAAACAATTCAGTGTGAAACAAGTCAAAATTCTTCCCTTTCACTTCTACAATTTCCTGACAGATTCCCAATATCACATATTGCTCATATTGACGAGGTTATATTTCTTTTGCTACTAACTTTCCTACTATCTTGTACTTCCATCTTTATCAACTTCTTACTAATTCATAATATCTAGGAAAAGGAATTTCTGATTAAGGGAACCATCAAGAAACTACAAACAGGAAATGGTTGGACTTATGATGGTTGTGACATCTGCACCAGTAAACCAATGGAGCAAAACAATAAACAATTTTGCAATATCTGTAATCGGAGCATAACCAATATTAGCCCAAAGTATGGAAGAGCAACATTTCAACCTTTATATACTATTGCTGTAAACCGAACTTTCCTAACAACTCTTTTTCATTTAACAGATTTCGAATCCACTACACCATCTCTGATGCCTCTGGATATATATCAGTTGTCTTCTTTGATAGACATGCTGTGGAACTACTCTACACAACCGCTACTGTTCTAAAAAATGAATTGATAGAGGTTGATCTCATACACATTACAATCTTTGTCCTTTAATTTAGTGTTACTGGATTTCTTCCAACAGCTTTACTTTTTTCCACCATGTTAACTTTAAAGCAAGCAAAGTTGCATTCCTTTCCCAAGCAACTTAATTCTCTGGTTGGAAGAACTATGGTCTTGAAGGTCAAAGTAACAAAGTACAATATTCAGCACCGCATGACCAGTCTAAGTGTATCTCAGTACACAGAGAATGAGAACTTGCTTTCCAAGTTTACCTACACAATTGAACAGGTTTGATGCACCTAAATTTTTGAACTCTTTTTTACATGTGTTCATCTCATTTGCTGTTACTAACTTTTACACATTACTGTATTTTAACCAATTGTAATCCCCTAAAGATTCTGATGGTGACAAAGCTCTCAAACAAGAAGTTTGTTATAACACATTCATTTCTAATTGAACGAAATCCTCCTTTACAGGAAATGGCTCCTTCATTCATTGTAAATTCTGCTGATAACTTGCAACAGATTGCTTCTTCACAAGTTTCAGACACAATGTCATTCCAGACAACACCAACACAATCCACTACTTCTGCTGACCAAGATACAGCACATGAGCAAGGAGAAAATGATGACATGCCAATTGCACAGCTGTTCACTACTCCAACAACTAAGGGAAAGAAAAGACATGCTGTCAAGAAAGAAACTTTAAAAGATCACTGCCCAGGCATCTCAGATATGCCAACACCTTTTTTCTCCACAACCAAGCCACGCAAAACAATCAAGCAAGAGAAGATATATTAGACAAATTAGACACTACTTTCATGAAATATATTTTGTCTATGCCTCTAAATTTCAATTCAGTTGCTTAAGTTTCTCAATTGTACTGTTCTTTTTTTTTTAATCTAAGGCCTTAGGACTTAACTTTGTTTCTTTACGTTTTCCATCTGTAATATGCCTTCTTTTTTTTTCAGTTACTTTGAAGTTCAACAAGCAATGAAATTTCCTTCACTTTTACCACGACTGCTTCATCTCATTTCATTACATCCATTCTTAAATTTCTTATTCTTTTTATTTCCATTGTCCCTGTAATCATATTTTCTTAGCAAGTTAATCAAGTTAATCTGTTAACACCTGCATTAATATAGAAAAAAATCATATCCAACTATCAAACAAATTAATACCATTATTATATTGTCAAATTGCTATCGAAAATTGCCTAATCATATATGGATCAACAAAGAGACAAAACAATTATCAAATGCATTCTCTTAAAATAAATATCATCATTAAAAATGAGCAAGTAATTCCATCCTTGCATTAATAACTTGTCACATATTCACATAATATATTCACTTTTCCTAACAGCAAAAATTATGTCTGTTCTACTAACTTTCTGACAACATATTAACAATAAACTCAACAAGTCCATGCACAAATTTCAAAGAAAATAAACTATGAATAAAAGTGCACATTGTCCAATACTTCAACTATCACTGTGTCATCTGAACAGGTTATCTAAAATAATAACTTGCCTCAACTTCTTTTCCAAGTTTCAATAAAATCAAATATGTTTAGTCCTGTCATAGGTTTTCCCCCTATTTCTAATTCATTCTTTCTGTTTCTTACTATTTCCTAAATGTATTCAATGTTTGTAGCTATCGCCTAATATCCAGATTACACATTCATTTCCTACTGCTATTGTTCAACAGCATACAACTCCAGACCCCTTCAGACATTAAGAACAAGAAACTTCATGTGCATCATTCTTTGCTTCCCAGCTCAACTTCAACTTCAACCACACGAAAAAGGTCACTTCTTCTTAGATTTCTTCTTACCTATTGTTTTATGTTCCTTCACCACAGCATACTAAAACATCTTGGGGCTATATCTACTTCATAAAATTTAAAGCAACCTATTTTTGGAATCCAATGACAAGAAGAATTAACAGCAAAAGATTTCGACTCTTGGAAAATGACTATCAGTCAACCTTTGTGCAAGTAAGGGACGAATGCAATGCACTTCAAGACATAACCAACCATCAAGGTATGTTAAAAATTTTCAAAGCCTCTCCTTCTTCACAGCTTTCTGATAATTGATCTTGCACTTTAGGTAGAGCAATGTGTGAAGATCCAACAGTCAAAATCACTCCAGTTAAGAGTGTTAGATTTCGGAATTTAAAACAATCAGAAAATCATGTCAATTGCACCCCAGGTTAGAAATTAATTTCTCTTATAAATGTCCCAAAAAGTAAAGACTTCAATCACTTCAGTCATGTTCTTTGAAAAGTCATTTCATTTCTTTTACATTTTATGCACTACAGTAGCAAAGAAACAAAAAAAAACATACCTCCTCCAGATTCACTTCACCAAACAGTTTTCCACCAAATCATCTTCCAGACAGAGTGCATAACAGCATAGGGTCGTCCCATCAAATTACAACAGTTATTGATTCAAAAATTGGCACTTCATCTCCTCCATTAAAGTTTCAATTACCATTCCCCACAGGTATCTATCTTTCATGTCTAACTTCCATTAACTTATTACCATGCATTCAAATATATGTTCATATTAGTCTTTTATATTATTAGTCATACGAATATCCAACCAAAGTATGTCACCTTGTCTCTTTAGCAATTTCTCTCAACTTTGACAGATACATCCGCAGATCCATTTAACCATAATGACACAGAAAGTAAAAACAGTGATGATAATGAAGCCAACTCATCTCAAAAATCACAATTTGTCACAGGTGATATATCTACTTGCTTTTAGAATTCCTTACTACTCAAATCCTCTTTACCTCCCTTCCTCCTTCCTTTATCCGTTGAACATAATTTTTAAATGATTTTTCTCTAGGTTATATAGACGAAGGAGATCCTACATTTCAATGCTGCTACTGTGGGGCACTACTTTGGTTAAATGAAAGAGTTAAGAGAGTTGGATCAACAACAGAACCAGTTTTCTCTATGTGCTGCTCCCATGGCAAAATTAAACTGCCCCTCCTAAAGCCTCCACCTAAAGTTTTGAATGACCTTTTCTTCAACAAATCATGTCCAACCTCTAAGAATTTTCTTGCAAATATTCGAGCATACAATAACATGTTCTCCTTCACTTCAATGGGAGGAAAAATTCACCATGTAATCAATTCAGGAGGAGGACCATATGCATTTGTACTAAATGGGCAAAACTACCATACAATTGGAAGTTTGTTACCTATAGAGGGATCAAAACCAGTCTACTCACAACTATATATCTATGACACAGACAATGAAATCACCAACCGCATATCAGCTGTGAGGTAATGTTCCTTTTATGCTCACCGTTAGTTACATTTATTTTTTTTCCTCATACTACACAGCTTATTTCATTCATGTAATTGCAGTCGACATGAAAAATCATCCAGTATTAGTCCTGAAATTATTGCCATGATCAAAGACTGTCTTGATCAACATAACCCCTATGTGAAACAATACAGATTGGCATCTCAAATCTTACAAGAACAACAACAAACAAAATTGCGACTGCGCCTTATCAGAAATTGTTCAACTGAACAGCAAACTTATAATCTCCCGACCACATCAGAAGTTGCAGCACTGATTCTGGGTGATTTTGACAGTTCATATGACAAGAGAGACATTATTGTTGAAAAGACTTGTGGCACACTTCAAAGAATACATGAGCTGCATTACTGCTACCTTCCATTGCAATATCCATTGCTCTTTCCTTTTAGTCAAGGTGGTTACAATTCCAATGTCAAACACTGTCACAACTCATCAACCAATAGCTCAAAATATGTCAAGACAGTTACTATACGTGAATATCTTGCATATCGATTGATGAGCAGATCTCAAGAAGTTTCAGCAATACTCCATGCAAAACGACTCTGCCAACAATTTGTTGTTGATGGATTCACAATGATGGAATCACAAAGAATTGATTACATCAAAATGCATCAACAAGAACTTCAAGTTGACTTGTATCAAGGTTTATCTGATGCACTTTTTAGAGGAGAAAGAAATGCTTCAGCAACTGGAAAGAGAGTCATACTACCTTCTTCATTTACAGGTGGTGCAAGATATATGATCCAAAATTATCAAGATGCTATGGCAATTTGTCGTTGGGCAGGATACCCTGATATTTTCATAACTTTTACTTGCAATCCAGCTTGGCCTGAAATACAACGATTTTGTGCTAAAAATTCTTTACATCCATCAGATCGACCAGATATCCTTTGTAGAGTTTTCAAGATGAAACTTCAGTCATTGCTACAAGTTATAAAGCAGGAGAAAATTTTTGGAAGAATTAAAGCAGGTTAGAAATTCTTACTTCACAGTCACTGCCATTTCTACTTTTCATACTATTTTATTTAAAAAGTATATTTCAATAACTATTCTGTGTAAAATATTTATGCAGAAATTTATGCCATTGAATTTCAAAAGAGAGGATTGCCACATGCACACATCATTCTTTTCCTAGATCCAGCTGACAAGATCAAAGATGCTGAACATGTTGATGAGCTTATTTCTACAGAAATCCCAAACAAGAACACATCTCCTCTTCTTTATGATTTAGTTGCAAGTTACATGATCCATGGACCATGTGGTCACAGCAATCCAAGATCACCTTGTATGAAAGAAGGGAAGTGTAGCAAATATTTTCCAAAGAAATTTGTTGAAGAAACTATTCTTGATGATAACGGATATCCTACATACAGGAGAAGGAATGATGGAAGAACAGTTGAAAGAAAAGGAACCCCTCTTGATAGCCGCTATGTTGTTCCATATAATCCAAGACTCCTTGAACTTTTTACAGCTCATATAAATGTTGAGAAAACAAACCAGTCAACATCTATTAAATATCTCTTCAAATATATCAGCAAAGGAAATGATCGAGTCATTGCAGGAATATACAACAATGATCAATCAGCAAATCCTCATGGAATCTTTGATGAAATTAAACACTACTATGATTTTAGATATATTTCCTCATGTGAAGCTGCTTGGAGAATTTTTGCATTTGACATTCATCATCGATATCCATCTGTTGAAAGATTGAGCTTCCATTTGCCAAATCAGCAAACAGTATTGTACAAAGGAGGTCAAACTGTGAAGGAAGTCCTGAAAAAGCCAAGAATCAAAGAATCACAATTCTTAGCATGGATGGAATGCAACAAAACCAATGAAGATGCACGAGCTTTAACATATCTTGAATTCCCACATTACTATGTCTTTGACAAAAAAAAAGAAGATCTGGACAAAAAGAAAGCGTGGATTTGCAGTTGGACGGATGACTCATGCATCTCCTTCTTCAGGAGAATTCTACTATCTTAGAGTCCTCTTAACTAAGGTCAAAGGCCCAAGATCATATAAAGAGATCAGAACAATTGAAAATATTATCTATCCAACTTTCAAGTCTGCTTGTCATGCTATGGGATTATTAGAAGATGACATTGAATATATTGATGCAATCAAAGAAGCTGCAAACTGGGCATCAGGGCACTATTTGAGAAAATTCTTTGTCAGCATGCTTTTGTGCCATTGTCTCACTGATCCAAAGAATGTATGGGAAAGATCAGCTGAACTTCTATTTGATGACATCTACTACACACCACATAACAATCAAGAACTAACAGGTTTGATCTTCATTCAATCTTTCCTCAACAATTAATTTACTAACTATAATATACAACTGAATAGATTTCAAATGTTACTTCTTCTTTGACCATAAAATATCATCTACATGCAGATATTGTCTTTTCATATGCACAGAAGCAACAAGCTGCATTGTTTGAAATAAATCAATTATTACAAGCGAATGGAAAAAGCTTGATTGACTACCCTACCCTACCAAGGCTTGAAGCTCACAAGCACATTGATGTTACCAACCACCTTATCATGCACGAATTAAATGTCAACAGAGAAAATTTACAGCTCGAGAGTCAAAAGCTAATCTCCTCTTTAACTGAAGAACAGAAAACTATTTTTCATTCAATTATGTCTTCCATTGGCACTTCATCACAAGGATTCTTCTTTGTCTATGGTTATGGTGGGACTGGGAAAACATTCCTTTGGAATGCATTAATCACAACAATTCGTGCCAAAGGGCAAATTGTTTTAGCTGTTGCATCCAGTGCTATTGCAGCAACACTATTACCTTCAGGAAGAACAGCTCACTCTCGATTTGTGATTCCAATTGAGATTAATGAAACTCCACATGTAACATCAAGCACAGTTCACCACTTGCTAACCTTCTAAGAGAAACAACTTTGATTATATGGGATGAAGCACCAATGATCAAACGACATTGCATTGAAGCCTTTGATAGATCATTAAGAGACATTATGTTCATTGATGAACCATTTGGAGGTAAATGTGTTGTTATGGGAGGTGATTTTGACAAATATTACCAGTTATTCCAAAAGGAGCCAGAGCTGATATTGTGAATGCCTCTATTAACTCTTCATACTTGTGGAATAGTTGCACAATCTTCAAACTCACAAAAAACATGCGCCTTTCTACTGCTTTGACACTTGAAACAACTGCAGAAATTAATCAGTTTGCCAATTGGTTACTTGATGTTGGTGACGGAAACTTATCACTTCCTAATGATGGCATGGCAGAGATAGAAATTCCTCCTGAGTTGTTAATTACAAAATACTACAATCCCCTCGAAGCTATAGTCAATTCCACTTATCCAGATTTGCTCCAACACTTATCTGACTCCAAATACTTCAATGATAGGGCAATTTTAGCTCCTACAATAGAAACTGTGAATCAGTTGAATGATTATATGTGCTCATTATTGCCTGGTCAACCAGTCGACTACTTCAGTGCAGATTCAGTTCCAAAAATAGAACAGGATAATGACTCCATTGATGACTTATACACAACTGAATTTCTCAATACAATCAATTGCTCTGGCTTACCTCCACATAAACTCACTTTAAAGATTGGCACACCGGTTATGCTTCTACGAAATATAGATCAAGCGAGTGGATTATGCAATGGAACTCGGCTACGAATCACATTCCTTGGGAAGCATGTCTTGAAAGCAACAACACTCAATGGAACAAATGCCAATAATGAGGTGCTACTCCATCGGATGGACATGAATCCTTCAGAGACAAAATTACCATTTCTTATGCAGCGAAGGCAATTTCCAATCATACTGTCATTTGCTATGACAATAAATAAAAGCCAAGGACAGTCCTTACAACATGTTGGACTCTACCTACCAAAGCCAGTCTTCTCTCATGGTCAACTATATGTTGCACTCTCAAGGGTGAAATCTAGGAAAGGACTACATATTCTCATTCATGATTCAAATCAGCAACCAAGATCAAGCACTTTAAATGTTGTTTTTAAGGAGATATTCTGCAATTTAGATTCTAAATCCTTCTCTTGAGAAATAATCTACCTACCCTATCGAAGATTAGGTGACACTTCAGTTGCTTCTTCCTCAATTCGAATGAATATCATCACTTCTCAAAAACAATAACAAGCATGACAAGAAAACAAGTTTCTATTCTCTTCAATTTTATTTATCAAGTAATATTTTCCAATTGAGCCTTCAATTTCCTTATTCATTCTCCATTTGTTTTGAAATTTCTCAATCTTTTACTCTTCAAAGAAGATAATAAAAAAAGATAATCAATTTCATCTTTCAAAAAACATTTAATTTCCCTTCTAAAAATCAGCAAAACTTTTCCTTTAACAAAACATTACCTTTCTTCTAAATGGTTATGACATTACTTCAACAGCACAAGCAAAGCATAATTGATAGGACTGATGAATTAGCTTTTCTATTCTGACTAGATTTTCATGCTTCATTCATAGGGATGAGTCACTGTTTAGATACAATTAACATGTCTAAAAAATCTTTTCATGCTTAACATGTCTAAAAAATCTAATTCATTTGAACACCCCACAGCTATTTCCACTTCAATAAATCATCTTTCATACTTATACAACTGTTAACAACAAAAAATTGACCCTTCTTCAAATTAATTCTACAAATATTCATTTTCATTTCTTATAATTAATTGACTCTTCTTTTAATTATTAATTAGATATTATTTTTCCCACACATGATAGAAGAACCATTTATTAATGTCACAAAGTTCCTTTCTACTCCACATTAACTTCACTTCACCGAACAGGCCTTCAACTTTCATCCCTTCCATTTACTACATACATGACTATTTAGCGTGATGTCGACGCCATACACTCACAATATCACATTATGTTCCATCAAAAAACAACAGTGAAGGAGCATCAACTAAACCTCCCACAATGTGCATTTCGTTTCATACAAATTGCTGATCTAATAGGCTCGTGGGTTAATGACTCCATTGCCAAAGGTACTAAATGTTCCCACACCTAATATTACCAAATAATATTAGCTATCCATTAGATATAGTGTAATACGTTCTACTTACGACACAGATGTTTGCGCTGTGCTCAAGCGTATTAATCGACCCAAAGTGATCAAACTTAATGCCCTACATAATATTGAACTCACGTTCATCATTGAGGACAACCAGTTAAGAAGTCAAACTCAAGTTTTACAACTGTTAATTTCTCTCACAGTACAGACACAACTCATTAACATCGCAAAATTTTTTTCAAAAAACATTCAATCCACTACGTTCTTCAAGGAAAATGCACACTGACAACTTGAAATGAATACAATTCAACCAACAAAAAATCACCTCTCCCCTTGACCATCAACATCAATTCTTAACAATCAATGAAGAGCAAACTTCCAATTTCATTTGCAATATACTACAAACAGTGACAATATAACAATAATATTTTCTTCATATCAACACCACTATAAAAATACAATAACATCAAGAAATTAATTTACTATTCATTATCCAATCAAAGAGACAGAGATCTTTTAGACTTTAACAATTATACAATTTAAAGTTACAAATAACATAAATTATCCGTGCAACGCACGGGGCATAACATCTAGTTATGTCAATCTGATTATCAATTAATGAAAAGATGCAATCAAACTTGGATGGCCGGCATGATATTCCCCATTCTTCTTTGCTCCATTGCAGTGCGTCACACCACTTGGTTTCTCCTTTAATGAGCTTCAGATTTTGGCTTGACAGTTCCTTCTTAGAAAGGCTTTGGAGCTTTGGGCAATCATAAATTGCCATTTTTTCCAAGTTTAGACCTAAGTGATATCCATTGGAAATGGTGATCAACTCAGGAAGATGGAGAAGCATTATCTTGCTCAGTTTAGGGAGGAAAATCTGTCCTTTACATCTAAATGATCCATCACTTATCAAGGAGGTTACTTTGGGACAATCCTTGACGATAACCTCCTTCAAAAGTGAAAGATTTCCCAAAAAGTCCATGGTGAAGACAATTTTTAACTCAGGGCAATTTTGCAATACTAAAGACTTCAGCATACCAAAAAAGCTGCGAGGTGGCGTCGGCCCTTCCCATATGCTTCTTAAACTCCTCATGTGCGACACGTGTAAATATAGCAAGTGTGAGAAAGTATCATCACCACTATTTGATTGTCTTGCATCAACAACTGTTTGCATTTCTCTGCATTCTGCCAAAATAAATACACGCAACTGTTCTAAATTCATCATTTTAAATTCCGATAGATTCTGGATTGTCTTATGTCTCTCCAGAAATAAGGCCTTGCTGTGCCCAACTAGCCTTTTAATTTCATAAGGAACGCCATCACCATTCACAAACTTCAAGCTACAACCACTCTCTTTAAATTTTGCCTCACATGTGGATGGTGTGCTTGATATGATCCTTTGCATATGCCTACCAACAATAAATCTAAAATCAACCTCAAAGACACTGTCAGGTATGAACTTCAAAAGTTCTAGATGTGGGATATATAAGCTAAGAGTCAGCAAATGCCCTAATCCCAATATTTCTGGAAGAATGTCTCGTACATTCTCATACCACTGCTCATCATCAGGGTTTACATCAATACTTAAATGGTTCAGCCCCTTAAGTTTTGAGATTACCTCGGATGGAATAATTGTTGACTGTGTATATCGCTTGTTTTTCTTGCCACGATATTCATAGAAGCAAATGAACAAGCTTTGAAGATTCGTCAACTCTTGCATCTCTTTTGGCATATGGGTGATTTGAGTTCCATCAAGATCAAGCTTTTCAAGTTTCTTCAATTTCCCAATCTTTGGCGATAATTTCATGAAGCATTTACAACCTTTCATATATAGTGCAATGAGCTGCTCCAACTCAAACAGAGAATCTGGTAGTTCTCGTACGCTAGTGTAAGATAAGTCCAAGATACAAAGTAAGGGCATTTTAAAGAAAAACATATTTGGAATTCTTGTTAGATCAGCATTTCCCTGAAGCAATAAAACTTTGAGTTCAGGGCAGTTTGGTGACAAAGGCAGCTCAGACAGTTTATTGTTTGCAAGTTCCATATGTACAACACTATGCCAGAGCTCATCATTTGGCGGCTCAGTCAATCCCAACCCAGATTTTTTCATGAACCAAGGGGTCATGGTATTCAGTGAATGCAAAATAGCATGTATGTCTTCTGGCAACTTGACATACTTATCATTTAATTGATTGTTTAGTAAGATAAAGCGTTCTACAAGCTCTCTCAACTTATGCACAGCTTCTTGATCATCTGTTAACTGATGAGAAATCCAACAATGCATTAATTCATCAGAGAACTTCCCAGTTTTGATATCTGGGATGAATAAGCAACTCATTAGGCAATGCTTTAGCATTTGATTCATATCATTCCAGATGAAGTTTATGAATGTAGTTACCATAACTTTGCTTACCCCCTGAATGCATATACCAGGGTTAAGGAAACGCAACTTGTGGAGTGCAAGTTTCCAAAGCTTGACATCTTCCTCGTTCTTCAACGACTTTGCCACAAGGACAGTGGCCAAAAAATCCCACCACATTCTTGAACTATACGCATTGCAATTTTCTGGATGACACTGGATGAAAAAACCAGCTTTTTGCCTACATTTTGACAAAAGACTTTCCATGGCAACAAATGATCCTTTGTTCTGATTGTCAGATCCATTGCACTTGTTTTTCATCATTTGCCTGCTTTTGAAATTCAGTTGTGACCAACACCATGACTGGCATACATGTGTCTGCAGGCAAACTCACTTTTCGCAGATCTATAGTCTTCTGACCATCCCCATCCAACAAAATCACTACATATTTTTCGTAGATCATACTTGGGAGAATAGTCTCCCTGGACTTTAGAAGCTGAAGCTGTTGACATATATGTGGTCCAACAAGGACCTCTACTTTTGTCCTTGGCTTTTATATAATGACACATCAATCCACAAGATTCCATGGATGACTTCATTAAAACGAGGCATTTTCTCCATATCCTTTAGAGCTACTTTCATTTTTCTGAAAACTTCTCTTCGTTCAGGATTATTTCTGGTACAAAACATGACACGGTGAATGTTGAGAGCATGATCTTCCCCAGAAAGTAGGATTTGAACCAATTGATTTATAGCAAGATCAGCAGCTAAATTGAGAATGGCATCTGGTATCTTATTATGATCAAACATGGAACTACCTCCTGCTTCTGTCTCAATCTCCATCATCATTTCTATCGGCACAAGTCCTTCCAAATAATGAAGCGGGTCCTCCTGGATTAGACTGTATTTTTCTGCTACTGAATCATGAGCATTTGAAAGTCGATGAATCCAAGTCTTAAGTTTGCTATCATGCACTGTTCTCGTAGGATAACTCAACCAGAGGCTGACAACATCTCTTATTCTGTCTAGCCTCAACAGTTTTTTCTTCTGCTCCCTCATGAAATTTGAAAGCTTTCTGGGCAATGGAGGCGATTTGATGATGCCGTAGGACATCTCATCTAAATCCATCTGATCATGAAATCTAACCTCCATAGGACCTCAAAAATGAAGTGTTGTGTTTTCCTGCGAAATGATTCCATTAATTAGAACTCCCAAGGAATATTTTTGAAGAACAAACCTAATCTTTTGTCAACTTCCTTACCGCATAGAATATCTTATAAGAACAAGGACCAAATAATTTTTCAAGCCTCTTTTAATTTTCAGGTTCCCACCTTTATCTCACCAAAATTAAGGAGAGGTAGTTAAGTTATTAATTTTGTGTGAAAAAATAAACTCTCACTTTCACCTATATTTAAATGAAAAAATTTTAAATTTATATTACATTCACTCTTAATAATTTTAAATAAGGATAATATTGAAAAAAAATATAATTAATACCTCATGATTTTTTTTTCATTATAAAGAAAACATGCCTCCTTAATTAGTACCAAGTGCTTCATTTTTTTTTCCCCTCAAACGTGATGACAAATTTTATTATTAAAGATCAATTTTCAGTAGTGCCATTAACCTTTTCATTAATGGACAAAGTCACAAAACTTGAGTGCATGTTTGAAATCTCTTTATTGTCAAGGATGAAAAGTAAGATCTAAACACTTGTTTTTTTTTTTTTTTGGGGGGGGGGGCAACTGAACTGATTGAGAAAATACAAAGAGAGGGGGGCAACTCAAATATAAATGACAACTATTTTTGTGAATTATAGATATATATTTCTTTTATTCTTTATTAGAAATCATAAATGAAGCATGTTGAAAGTGAAAAAACATAAGAGAAATATGGATGAAGACAAAGTCAAACAACTGAACCAGGCAGCAGGAAGCAATAAGATGAGGTGTATGTTGGCTCTTGAGTCGATGAAGCCCAAGCCTCCGCCAGCTGAGTGGAGATCTAGAGATCAGAGGAGTCGCCCTCTACAGTCAACTCAAGCACTTGCATGTTGCAGCCATCTAATTCTAAATTCCACTGCTTGCTCAATAATTGAACCGCTCAACATGAGTTATAAGTGGAAACTTCCATGTAACTTCGCTTTTTTAGAAAAAAAAAAAATCATTTCTTACGTACGTGGACACTGGATAGAGATGTGCCATTACTCATTAATTCTTAGAAAAATCATTATAAAATCCCATATAAACATTCTAACTACCTAAAGGTTCTGTCAATTATTAAAAATAACTCTTTTTATTCTTATTAAGAGTAAAGGTGAAACATTGTTAAATTTCAAAATAAAATTAATAAAATTTAAAATTTTCTTTACTTCTAATAAAACATGATTTATAAATAACAGTAATTTATGTGGGATTCTATAGTAATTCTCTCTTAATATTATTTGCTAGAGGACTTGCTCTACGTCATCCCAATCCCATTATCCTAAGTTCGAAGGTCCAAACCGGTGTTTTCGTTGTATTTTACCTTTCGTGTGATACGGCAGCGTTTCATTGTTAGGCTGACTTCCTTCTTGTTTCGCGCGTTGACCCAAAATTATGCTTCTGTCTTTTCTTGATCCACTCGAGCTTGTGAATTGTGATCACTCAGAAGCACTCTATCTATCTCAAACTGGTGGATTTCATCTTTTCATCTCTGGTCCAAACCAGGTATAATTACTCTTTACTTTTTCTTTTCCTTATAAGATTTTAATTAAAGCATTTCCTATATTTTCTTTGTTGGCCCTCTTCTATTTTTATTTATGAGCTTGATTTCTACTAAGATGAACAACTCTGAAACTCCCCAACTCAGACTCTTGTCCTCCACCAGCTGGAAATATAATCACTAGAATACTTGCGTTGAAATTGTAATATTCTCTCTGTCTTACATATTCCAATATGATTCGTTTCCTTATAACCCCGAAATGTCTGTTTTATTGAATGGATTCCCATATCACATTCGTTGATAGTATTTGTGAAGCTCGTAGATTGATTATATTTTTTATGCAAGAAAAAAATAGTTATATAAATTTAGAAGTAACTGTTCGGTATCGTACTATACTACGTGTGTATTCGCGGTTGAGGCACACATACATATTCCATACATGTATGTGCGTGTACAAACACATCGCAGTGAAATGAAATGAATATGTAACATGTTTGATCTTGTGGAGAATTCTATGTACCACACATATCTTCGTTAACATCTTCTGTTGAATCACTAATCATTCTAGGAATTTGAAGTTTCACCATGAATGGGATCAGAAACACTGTCTCTGCTGTTGGAGAGATAGCAGGAGAGCTGGTCAAGCAGGTTGGATGGCAGGTTTCAACAGATGCAGTGACAGACACTCTTCGGGCTTTCACTAATTTGGAAGAGAAATATGAAGACTTAAAGCAAGAAAGGCTGTTGCTGCGTTCCCTCAGAAATGACATAGAGAGGGAAGTTCAGAGATGTAGAGAGAAAGATACCACAAGTTCTTACAGCTTATGGATCACTGAGGCATCAGAGGTTGATGAAGAAGTGAATGATTTGGTGGCCAAATATGAAGCAGAAATGCAAACTTCAAACCGATTTTGGCTTAGACCAAGTCTGTCTTCAGAGATGGAAAAAATGATTGTTGCAATTAAGCAACTAGTTAAAAAGAAAAGTTCTATGGTTTTTCAAGTTGACAAGCCTCCAGAGAGTATCTTAAAGATGTTAAATGCTCCTCGTATTGCAGGTTATCCTACCCTACAAGGTGCACTGGAAAAAGTTTTGGAATTGGTTAAAAATAGTAAAATAAAAGCCATTGGAGTTTATGGATTGAAAGGGGTGGGGAAAACAGCAATAATGCAGAATTTGAACAATCATGAAGAGGTTGCCAAGTTGTTTGATATTGTCATTTTTGTGAGAGTCTCGGATGATGAGACTCATCTTGAACTCCAACAAAAAATTGCAAGGCGATTGAAGGTGGACACCAAAGGGATCAATGACCCTGAAGATATTGCTAGAAAAATCCATGAAGATCTGAAGAATAAGAAGTATTTGTTGATTTTTGATGGAGTAGTGGATTCTATTGATCTGAGTCAGCTAGGAATTCCAAACAATGACAATCATAGTAAGGTTGTGATGACTGCTCAACATCAACAGGTTTGTACCTTGAATGAAGCAGACAGGTTGATCAAGGTTGAGCCATTATCTCGTGATGAGGCATGGAAGATGTTTCGAGATACTGTTGGTCCTATAATTGACCGGCCAGACATACCAGAGATTGCTCAACGTGTATGTGACAAGTGTTCTTGCCTTCCACTACTAATACATAAGATAGCACGTTCTTTCAAATTGAAAGGGAGTGCTTCAAGTTGGAGGGCAGGGCTGGAAGATCTTGAAGAACGATGGCCAGATTATGAAAATGAGGGTGTGAATGAGTTGTACTCATTCTTGACATTCTGCTATGATGAGTTGAAAGACGAAAAGAAACAGAAATGCTTTCTGTATGCTTCATTGTACCCTGCGGGTAGCAAGGTTTACAGCGATTATTTGGTGGAGTGCTTGGCAGCTCAGGACTTCCTTGGTGATGTCAATGGTACAAGAAAATACCAAAAGGCACGTGACCGTGGTTATGCAGTACTAGAGCACCTCACTAATGTCTCATTACTAGAAAAAGGAAAACAAATGATATATGTCAGCATGAATGATTGTATGAAACAACTTGCTTCATACATATCTTCTAAGTATCCCGAGTGTAATTCTTATGTCCAGTCTAGGGAGGAACTTGGGGAACCTGCAACATCAAAATCTTGGAAAAATGCTAGGTGGGTATCTTTGATTGACAGCAATTTGCAGGCTTTACCAATAGACCAAGATTGTAGTAAGCTTGAGACATTATTGTTGCAGAAGAATCTGGAGTTATCTACAATTCCTAGAACATTTTTCAAGAAGCATATGAGAAATCTGCTGGTGTTAGATTTATATGGTACCGGACTTAAAAGTCTGCCATCATCTGTATCTAAGCTGACTGGTCTTCGAGGACTATATCTTAATGATTGTGAGCATCTGACATTGTTGAATTGTGGATTAAGATATCTTGAACGGCTTGAAGGTCCTTGACATTCGAGGAACCAAAGTGGCCTTCTTATCATCTGATATTGGATACTTGACCAATTTAAGGTGCTTGCGAATCCCATACATTAAAATTGTAGATCAAAGTGAAGATGACAGATTACAGCTGTCAATGCTGATTATGGTGCACTCTCAAGGCTTCAAAAATTAGATAGAATTGATAATTGAAGTGGTTTCATACCAGAATGGTGTAATGATGCCGCTAATGTGATGCAGCAGCAGCAGTTAGCTTCTCTGGAAAATCTAACCAACCTTAGGTTCAGTTTTCCCACTTCAAAAATATCTTGAAAATCTTCTAACAAGGAGATCTGGTGAGCAATTCAGTTCATTCCGATTCTTTGTCGGATGTCAAAACTCTAAGCGTCCTTCGATTCTTGAATCTTTTGAGTACAGAATTCCCAAATATTTAAGATATAACAACGGCGGACGCGAGGATACTCCTGCAATTAGTGTTTATACTTCCTCATACTGATGCATTAGAATTGATCAACTGTAACCACATCAGAGATCTGTCAAACCTTGGGACAGAAAGCTTGAAGCGGATCCGTGGTATTCTTGATTGAGAAATGCAATGAGATTCATACCCTTTTACCAGGAATTGTGAATGGCGCAAGAGATGTAAGCATCCTGCCAAATCTTGAGCAACTGCACCTGATAAATTTGCCCATGTTGAATTGTGTTTTGGAGGTCCCTTGCATCAGGAATCCCTTTCCAAACTAAGGGCTTAACATTGAAAGATTGCTCATCTTTGAAACACATTTTGGCGTTGGAGCTATTCAACATTTTCCGAACTTCATATCCTAGAAGTTCAAAACTGTTCGGATTTTGAAGAACTTATTGTGGCGGCTGATTTTGGCAGTGTGGTGCTTCCCAAATTAGAGGTGTTAGTGCTGGCTAATTTGCCAAGATTCAGATCTGTGTGCATAGCTCAGACACTGCCGTGTCTTCACTGGAGGTTCTTAAAATTTATAAATGCTTCAAAATTGAGATCATTGCCTTTTAGCAAGGAAAAGGCAGCCAACCTAAGATATATCAAAGGTGAACAAGAATGGTGGGATGAACTGCAGTGGACAGACAAAGAGCATTTTCAATATGCATTTGCAGCTTCAAGTGAGCATTAGTCATTTTTCTTTGTTGTACTTATTGATGTGTGAATTGAAAGACTAGTTGTGCCTTTCTTCGGACTTGTGTATTCCTAGTGAGTTTGGTGCTGTGTAATCTGTGTTTTATTACTTTACCCATTACGGTTGTAATTTGTTTTGTATTACTTTACTGTTTAAAATGTTTTGATGAAAAGAGCTTTGAAAATATCAGTTGATGTTCTACTCTTTCAATTCAGTTTAACCTCACGACCAAATTATATCTATTCTGATTTTGTCGTTTCAAGAATTAAAATTCAATCAAGTGAGAGATATGCAGTAAAAAAATTATATATATATTGTCATTTTAATTGTATTATATCATAAATATTTTTTACCCTGGGCTTTAACATGTACATGGTAATAGTAATTTTCTTTTAACATGTCTTTTTATTATTATTATTTTTTTTTTTAAGCAATCCATCTATCCACACTGGTTTCTAATAAAATGCAATTTGACCAGTTTCCTTATTATAACATCCGTTTCCTAGGAACTGCACGTAGCTCGTGGGAGGTGATTTGAATCCCACAAGTTATTTTAAAAAAATATATGAAGCGTACACAATTTTTTTTAACAACAATTTCACAGGGATTCCAAAAAAAAATTAAAAATTTATAATGTAAATAAGGGATAATCTCTACTAGGGCCCTCAGAAAACAAATTAATGACATGCAAAGCTCAAAAATTCTGAATACTTCTGCAGGCCAAGGGTTCAAATTGCAATTAAGTTTGTTAGTCCAATTATTAAAATGCCCTTATCTTTTATTTTATTTTTTCTAAAAAAGTTTTCTATTGCCGGCCGTGGAGCCACTGCTTGACAATGGTCAACAACTGGTTAAATGTGCCAAGGGTGAATTTGAACTCTTGACCCTTTAATTTCCAAAATAAAAAAAAAACCATTGAACTAACAAGCATTTTGATAGATGTAATGCAAAATTTTATATATATATATATATATATATTGTAACTTTCATTTTCAAATACCTTTACACATTGTTGCATATTCTAGATATCTTGTTGTGTATATCTCAATAATCACTTGTGTATATTCAAACATCACTTGTTCATATATAAAAAAAGTTGTTAATTTTCTAAAACCCAATTTATTCTATTTTCACAATTTATTCCTTTACTGTTAATAAGTTATTAATATTATGCTAAAAAAAACAATATGTTATAAATTTATTATTCATTATTTTCACAAGCTTTTATTAATCATGAAAATCTTGTTGTCTATATCAAAACAATCATTTGTACATATTTGAACATCACTTGTTCATACATGAAAAAATTGTCAATTTTTTAAAACCCAATTTATTCTATTTTTTGTCACATCTTGAACTTTTAAGTGTAACCGACTGGAATACAAGAAAACTCATATTTCATAAGCCTAAACCCATAAAATATCTAACATAATAATTACCCAATCTCATCGTATAATTGTCATTTGTATTAAATAACTATTAGTATTAACAAAATATTTAAACTTGTTGTAAAAATTTTGACAAAGTCTTCCCTGTAAGTTAGACTACTCGAAATCTCTACAACCTGTCAAAAGAATATCCAAGCAGCATTTGAAATTCTACTCCGATATAGTATGTATATATATACATATAATCTATAACATTTTAAATAAGGATTCTACCTATAGGATTCACGGAGCAACTCTAGAGCAAAAACAAAATACTTAAATATTTACATTAATTCACAATGTCAATGGAGCAACAGAAAATATTCTTGTCTTAAGAAGTCCCACGAAGTCTACTGAAAAACAGGTTCACTTTTACTATTTGAATAACAAAATTTCTTCCAGTAAATAACATCCCAAATATTAATAAATAAAAATGATAATCATAAACATATATAATAAGAAATTAGAGATTAATTTAATTAGCAGTGGTATTAGAAAATTACCATACAATTATCCATGTTAATTGAGTAACAAAATAGAAAAGAGAATAGAGAATCATAATCATCAAGTTAGGAATATATTCTTTATATAAAACAAATCATAAAAATACAATTTTTAAGAGCAAAAAATACAATTCAAAAGATTTCTTTTCTGTTAGGACCTAAACAGAATGAATAACAAGCATGGACACATATTTCATGAGGGTAAATAACATTTGGCATGATTAGAAGTCACAAAAAATAAGCACAAGTATAAAGTTCATGAATAACAAGCGTGGATTATATCCACGAAATCTCATCCTCCCTTCCACGTGTTGGCTGACACACAAGACTAGCACCTCTAATGTACCCTACTAGCTAAGCGTGTCATGGCGTACTAAGAGCTAATGAAACTGTCGTTAGCAATCAGTGTTCTGTATTTAGCCTTATAAAACATTTCTGTCATGTATGAAATCCAAAAATCCTTATAGCTCAAAATTTTCCTTTAATTTGTGAAGTATAAATAACTTTTTCATCCACCATTTGTCCGGTCCATGCATAAACAATATTTTTTTAAGAAAGTAAATACCATGAAAATACATACATAATTAAACTTGAATAATGAATATATATAGATAAATAAATGAATGAATGAATGAACAAGGCAAAAAGAAATACCATCACTTCTTTTCATTGGGAAATGTTATTTACTTACTTGATATGTCACTCTATTTTCAAAATTCCTTTCTTGCAACTACAATCAATTTTTTTCTTCTACTAATCCTACCAAATATAATAGAATTTTAATAGATTTTTTACTAGATGAACAAACTCTCACCTAGTATGCATAAATTTCTAATGCAGTCCATCTAAACTTCTTAACCTTAAATCTTTTGCCCCAGCAATTCCGATATCACAATTATACGATACCAATCAAACTTCTCATCAGAGATCAATTTAGGCTTAAGAAAAGAATGCTTCTATACCTATCTTCTTCCTCTTATAATAATCAAAATAGCTCAAGTGAAATTACCTAACAAAGTATAATCTTTAAAATTAAATTTCTTGCTTAATTAAATTCTATCCACTTCCTAATTCACGCATCAAACATGAGTAGGAAGAAAAATTAAATTTTACAACTCATGCAACACACTCACATGCACAGTTAGGCGGCAGCAGCACATTAAAAAAATGAGGAGGAGAGATTTCAAGCATGCCCACACCAAATCAAGCTAAGGGAAGATGGAGAAAACAAGTGCTGAACCACCAAACAAGCATGAATTAATTGGCAAGGGAAGCCTTCAATGCCGCTGCAGGGATCAAAGAAGGAAGAAGAACAGAGTGACAGCAAGAAACGAGAAAGAGAGAAAACCACTAAAACAGATCCTTAATAGCATCAACAGACGAACCACAGTCACTGGCGACTAACAAAAGCGATCGGAAGAAGAAGAATAAGGTAGGGAAATAAGGATGATTTTCTCTCGTGCTCTGTCTCTCTCTTAGATTGAAATCTCTAGAATGTGCAAGAAAGGAAAAGGATGAGAATTAATGCCCGCTGCCCACCGGTTTTATTGATTTTTGTTAATATTATATTCTTTTTTTCTCTTTTTTTTATAATTTATAATGTTAGAACAAAAATAAAATAAGTTCTTTACCATCAACCATATTAAATCCTAAACCTACCAACAGAGACCTAAATATATTCTTGCCAAATTACCATTCACTTCATTATAATTACCCTAAAATTTTAAAATACTTAACTATTTTATCATAAATTTTATTTTTATTTTTTTTATTTATTATTTTTCAGTTAATTAATTAATTAATCTATATCTACACATTTGGGTTGTTGCATTTTTCACAACTTGTTCCTTCAATCTTAACAAATTATCAATATTATGCTAAATAAAAAAAGTATATGTTAATCATGGATATTTTGTTGTGTATATATGAACAATCACTTTTACATATTCAAATATCACTTGTTTCATATATTTAAAAAAAAATTGTCAATTTTCACGAGTTTTTATTAATCATGAACATTTTATTGTATATATTTAAATGATCATTTGTAAATATTCGAACATTACTTGTTTATACATAAAAAAAGTTGTCAATTTTTTTAAAACCTAATGTTAACAAGTTATCCATATCATGCTAAATAAAGAAGATATATATGTTATAAATAGAATAAATTGGGTTTAAAAAATTGACAACTTTTTTTATGTATGAACAAGTGATATTCGGATATTTACAAGTGATTTTTCAAATACACACAACAAAATATCCATGATTAAGAAAAGCCTATGAAAATGCTTAAAAATAAATTTATAACATATTTTTTTTTAGCATAATATTGATAACTTGTTAATATTGAAGGACCAAGTTGTGAAAAATAGAATAAATTGAGTTTCAAAAAATTGACAACTTTTTTTTATATAAGAACAAGTTATGTTTGAATATATACAAGTGATTGTTCAAATATACATAACAAGATGTCCTTGATTAACAAAAAGCTTGCGAAAATGCTTGAAAAATAAATTTATAGCATATATTTTTTTATTTAGCATAATATTGATAGCTTGTTAACATTGAATAAACAAGTTGGGAAAAATAGAATAAATTGGGTTTTGAAAACTTGACAATTTTTTGATGTATGAATAAGTGATGTTCGAATATTACAAGTGATTGTTCAAATATATATAACAAGATGTCCATGATTAACAAAAGCTTGTGAAAATGTTTGAAAAATAAATTTATGACATATGCTTTTTATTTATCTTAATATTGATAACTTGTTAACATTGAAAAAACGAGTTGTGAAAAATAAAACAAATTGAGTTTTAAAAAATTGACAATTTTTTTATAGATTAACAAGTGATGTTTAAATATGTACAAGTGCTTATCATATACACATCAAGATGTCCCTTGTATGCAACCTTGGAAGAGGGAGGGGGGGAGAGAGAGTCACATTTTTTTTTTTAAAAGGCAAGAGCGTTTTAGTAACTAGACCAACAAAATTAATTATAATTTGAGCCTTTGGGCTTATAGAAGTATTTCAAAATTTTGAGCCCTACATGTCATTAATTTGTTTATGAGGGCTTAGTTGAAATTCTCTCTATAAAGAATTTCTCAACTTAAAAAACTTGAGAGCCTTTTATGCTTGATGGTCTCCACTCTCCAAATATATAGAAGAAAAAAACTTAATCTTTAATCTCTATAATTTCATTAAATTTTGCTTCTCTATAATTTTTTTCAGCATTTTCAATTCTTATAGGAACTAAAACCACTGAAAAAAATAAAAACTATAGAAATTAAAAAACAAAAGTAACTCAATCTTTTTAAAACTATAGGGATTAAAAACATTAAAAAAAGATTTATAAGGACAAAAAATTGTGTTTTTCCTATGTAGAATTATAGAAACAGTTACTTGTACATGAGTTGATAAAGTTATGAAATTAAACTTGATCTTGTCTCTTTATTATGATACTCACGTTAGTTAGACCCTTTATCTAAATTCAGCTTTATTTATTTTTTTCCTTTTTATCATTGATGTTAGCTATACCAAACAGGATTTGAAGAGTCATGCTGCAAATTGTTTCCAGACTAAAAGAGTTGAGAATACCTCGAAAGTTAAGATTTTGAAGCATATTCAACGTTACCTTGATTTTTTTCCCCCATCGTGTCCAAGAGTTGATGTATCACATCACGTGTAATATAGTGCGGGGTAGTGTGTTGAGATGCAATGCAAGCACAAGTCAACAAAGGATACTCATTATGTCCATATATGAAGGTTGGAGGTTTTTGTATATGCTATACAAACGATGAATTGGTGATGGAAAATAATGCTTTTACTCACTGAAGAGCATTTTGCACGCATGGTTAATAGTTCCATGAAAAGAAATGCATGTAAAAGCTGATAAATTAATGTTTTACATTATCTCATAATTTCCAGCAAATTGGCAGAGCAGACGAGGGTTTTGGAGGGCTTTTATCATCAGCAGAGAAAACAGTTGAGGGAGTTTCTTTGAGAGTTGAGACCATCCAGATGAGGTGAGCAAGTAAGTACTTGTACGCAGGATGATCCAATTTCCCAATATAAGATCTCATCCGACATCCGAATTATGTCACGCTCACCAGAGGCTCCGTAACGCACAAGAAGATCGGTTGCAATTACGTCTTCCATTTCAGACCACTCATCAGCTTGTTTATCCTCTTCCTTCTCGCTTACGTCTTTGTTCTTCAGCATGTTCACTCTCTCAACTGACCACAATTCTGTATGACAAAGTTTCCTCAAACTGTTTACCATATCAACAGGGTCTGCGTCTCCTATTACAGTGAACGTCCTCTCCTCCAAGTGCGAGGACTCAGTGCCTGCACAGTGCACAAGACAAATATGGATTACGAGTAAACGAACAAATTATCCCAATGACATGTATACAAGAGCTGTCTATATAGTATGAATAATTACAGTGACAGGCCATTCAAGTGACTTAAAATCACAGTAAAAAATTATTGTGAAAAACAAAAAAAAGGGGATTGTAACTGAAACTATGGTTCACAAGGGTTCATGATTTTCTTTTCTTTTTCTTTTTCTTTTTCCCTTTTTTTTTGTGGTAAAATCATGACCAGTCTTTTATGAGTTTCTCAGTCATTTTGTATATATGTTGGAGATATACTGAAATAATTTGTATATATTTCCCATTATCAATGTGATGTTACCAATATTTGAATCTTGAACACAAAGGTCCAATCACAAATGTCAGACAAACTTGCAGTAATTTGTATAAATACAAATCAACCAAACAAAGGTGGAAGCCTTGCAGTTGCAGGAGTACCTGGAAGCTCAGCAACCATCTTCATGGCCTTCTGCTTTGCTTTGTCACTCTGCAAGTCCATCTTCAGCACCACTTTCTGCAGAAAAAGGACTCCAAGACATGCAGGAAATAAGATTTAATGAGGGAAAAAACCAACAAAACAGGTGAACAATGATTCTGGTAATGCAAATATGAATTCAGAAAGCAAAGCACTCGTCTATCATTGGACAGTAAATTTCCATGAAATAATGGAGAGCAAGGGATATTAGAAAACAAATGCAGCCTCCTCTACTCTAATAACACATATAATTGATATATGTAAATCTAAGTTACTTGTCGTAAATTGATAAATTAATTCATCCAAAAAAATATAGAAAAGTGGAGTAAATAACTTCTAAAATGCAATATTTTCCTACTTCACCGATATAAAATGAGAGAGACCAAATAACAGGAAAGAAAAAATGCCTCACCGAAGTCTCATGCTTGTTGGATCTCGAAGATGCATCTTCATTTCTAGCCAGTACATCCCTTGGTCGCTTAAGTTTAGCTATAGTCCCAACATTTGCCGACGATTGAAACCATCCATTTACTTTTAAAAAAGCCTGTATAATTTTTCATAATACAAAGAATTAAAGCCATGTAATTAAGCTATCAGTCATAAATTAATAACTTCTAATACTCATAAAGAGGTATAAACACACATATATTAGTACATACATGTATATGAAGTAAATAACTAATAATACTTAAATCTTCTTCACCTTCTTCCTAGTGGTGGGATTCAGATCCCACATCAAAGAATTATGCCGAGCGTTACACGCGCATGCACATACAAATGCATATATATGTAAGAATTAATATATACATAAATATTTAAGATATGGAATTATTTAGTTCTTTAGGTGGTTTTCACCTTTAGAATTTGGTTAACTTCGAGTAAAATAAAATATTTATTTTCATACCTCATGAATAGAAAATGAGAGATGAAATGAAAAGGAAGAAAAAGGCCTCTAACCTAAGTCTCTTTCTTGTTGGATCTAGAACATTTAACATCATTTCCAGCGGATAAATCTATTTCTTGGCTGCTTATTTTTTTCAGTAAAAGTGTTGTTTGAGTCAATATTTTTAATAATTATAATATGCCTTTTAGTTTCCAGAAATTTGTGTAATTTTTACAAAACAATAATGTGTATAGGGAAGAGATTTGAATTTTTTCCCATTAAATAAAAAGATTGGTATAGCGTTTAGTTTCCGATAAACATATACACAAAATCAACAACGAGCCTTATCCTATTGAGTAGAGTCAACTACATGGATTGCATGATGCCATTGTACTCTATCAGCAATTAAGCCTTAAAAAACATTGTTAACCAAAAGGGCTTTTAAAACAACTTCCATGAGTTCCCTTACCCTTCTTTCACTCTTCTAGGGCTTCCCATGGCTTTTTCTGTATATATTCAAACCATCTCAAACAATGTTTTATCATTTTCTCCTCAATAAATGTCACATCTACTTTTTCTCACATGTACTCATTATGAATTTTATCTTTTCATATATGCCCACGTATCCATTTTAACATTATCATCTATGTTACTCCAACTTTATGCTTTTCTTATTTCTTTAAAGCCTAACATTCACTACCATATATCATAGTTGGTTTTATAGAAATTCAATAAAACTTTCCTTTAAGCTTATTTGGTACCTTCCGATACAAATAACTGTTTTAGCCTTTCTCCATTTAGACCACCCAACTTGTATCCTATATGCAACATCCCCTATTACTACTAATCTGCTTCTTAACAAAATTACAATGCAAATATCCCGTCTTACTCCAACTCAAACGAAAACCCTTTGACTCCAAGGTCATTCTCCATAACTCAAGTTTGGAATGAATCTCTCTCTTGACTCCATAATAAGAACAATAACATCCACAGAAAGTTTGCAACTAGGGATTTCCTTTTGAATATGTTCAATTAGATCATCTAAAATCAGGTCAAGCAAGGGCTCAAAGATGATCCCTAATGTAGGCCAATCCTTATAAGAAAGTCTTTTTTTCTCACCACTAGATATTCTTATACTAGTTGCTGCCTCCTCATACATATCTTGTATAGCATTAATATGTGCCACTTGAACTCCTTTCTTTTTCAAGGCTTTTCAAAGTAATTCTCTTGGTACATGATCATAAGCTCTTTCTAAATTAATAAAAACCATGTGTAAGTCTCTACCTTTGTTTTGACTCCATTAATCCCCTTAGTAAATAAATCACTTCGATTATACCCTTATCGGCAAAAACCAAATTGATTTTCAAAAATATTAGTCTCCAATCTCAATCTATATTCAATTACTCTTTCCTACAATTTCATTGTACAACTTATAAGCTTGATCCCTCTATAGTTTACACATTTCTAAATATTCCCTTTATTCTTATGCATAGGAACTAATGACTTTCTCCTCTATACATCAGGCATTTTCTTAAACCATAAGATCTCATTAAATAGCTTAGTTAATCATAACACCCACTCCACACTTTAATAGGGATACTGTTAAGTCTAGTGGCTCTACCACTTTCCATTTTGTTTAGAGTTTCCTTAACCTCTGCTGCAAATTCTTCAATAAAATGTCAAATTATGTATCAACAAATGTTGATCCAGTTGGCAAGGATTTGGCCCATAACCCAGAAAGTTGTAGATTCAAATCCTACTACCAATATGAGGACTTTGGTGGATGATATGTAAGTATTTTTGTAAGCATTTGAGTCTGTAAGCATGTCCTAACCCTAGTGAGCTCCCGGGACCTAATTCACCTAAGTTTTCAAAATCAAAATGTCAAATTATGTGCTCCTTCTGGAGTTACTAAATCTTCCAAGTCACTAGACGAGCCTACTCCATCATTAAAAGGCTTGCAAAAGTAGGCCTCTCATCTATCTTTAATATCACCATTTATAATCAAAACTTTTCCGTGTTCATTTTTTATGTACTTTACTTGTTCTAAATATCTTGATTTTCTTTTTCTACTCTTTGTTATCTTATAAATTTTCCGTTCTCCATCCTTTGTCCCAATTTTCAAATGCTTTAAAATGTGCTTTACTCACTACTTTCTTAGTTTTCTTTTTAGCCATATAATATCTTTCCCAATTTTCAATGTTGCAAGAGGGCATGGACTTAAAACACTACTTTTATATTTGACTTTCTCTTATATGTTCTCATTTCACTACCAAGATTCCTTATCCTTTAGTCTAAAACCTTTTGATTCTTTTAAAATTTCTTTAGCAACCTTTCTTACCTTCTTAGCCATATCCTCCCATAGATGCTAGCACTTTCCCAAGACTCCGAAATACCTTTGCCTAAACAATTCCTTTTAAAAATTTCCTACTTCTCACCTTTTAATTGCTACTAGTAAGGGTTTGACGCTTGTCAAAGGTTTTGATTTTTACTCTTAATACACACCAAGGAAGCATAGATACATTGTTTAACCTGGCGTAGCCATATCTGATACACATTGGATACGAATACATGTCTCAAGACACATATATCCTCGTACCTATATCCTAAAAAATTTTAAAATTTGGTATCGCTGTATCATGCCGTATCATATCCAATACTCATATCCATATCAATGCAACCTAGATACACACATCAAAGGCAAGGACTCTATGTTGTGTTTTCACGCTATCCCCAATGATGACCTTGCAATGAATACAATCTTCTATCTATGTTCCTTACCAGAAAGAAGTGAATTTGCAACTTTGAGTATCCACTTTTGTAAGTGATAAGATGTTCATCTATCTTCTTGAAACAAGTTCCCCCCCTTAACCTAAAAAAAAAAAATTTAATAACTAAAAGTTTAGGTGATTTAAGTCTTGAGCTCACCATGACAAAGTTAAGTATAATAACCCAGAATATTTATAAAGGTACACGGTATTTACAATTGCAGTAGCATTTGAACTCACCCTCCTCCCCCCTTATGGGATATGAGTTAACTCCTTCCTAATTGTATATACTTTTAATGGATTTTAGCCTTTAGTATTTGGCACAAAAAAAAACTTCCAAAATAAAATACCTATTTTTATACTTCATGAATAGACTAAGGGCGCATTTGGTTACTGAAAATGATGTGAATGGAATGAAATAAAGAAATAAAGACAAAAATAAAATGATTATAATGTGGAAGGGAGATAGGTCAACCATGTTTATGAGAAAAGAGGGTAATTTAGTTCATAAGATTAGAAATCATGATTCATGAAATTTTTAGAGGGTGCGGTGATTCTCACATTTGTAATATGTGATAGTAGGTTTTATCATGTTTACCATGATGAAGAGAGCAATTGGGTTCATTTTTGTGTTTATTTCTTTATTTTGTTCCATTCTTATCATTTTCAGTAACCAAACAGGCTCTAAAGGGAAAAATGAAATGAAAGGAAAGGAAACGATGTCTTACCGAAGTCTTAGTCATGTTGGATCTAAAAGATTGTGTCATCTCTCACTGCTAAATCTATTATGCCGGCGATCTTGTTTCCAGTAAAAGTGTTGTGAGTCAATTTTTAATAATTATAATATAATATACCTTTAGTTTTCAAGAAAAATTCTTAAATAAAATATTTATTTCAGACTTTGCAAACAGAAAATGATAAACCCAAAGTAAGGGAAGAAAATAATGGGGGGAGGATTCTCTTCTCTTCCTTCCCCATCATCTTCCTTTATCTTCCCTTTTTAACTATTGGATCAATATTTGGATGGTTCAAATTTGATTGCTTATAATATTATTATTACAATATAAATTTATAAAAGAAAGAGAAAATAATAAAATTTAAACTGCTAAAATTTAATATGAACAATTAAAAAATACAGTAAAAGAAAAATTATATCATACCGAGAGCTCCTCATCATTGAATTTGAAAGATTCATCGTCGTCTTCATCTTTTTCGTTATTAAAAGTGGACAATATGCCAGCCTTCTCATCAAGATTCTCAACCTGAAATTTAAGTTGCAAACTTTATTCCCTGAATATTTCATGATTCAAGCATTTGAAACAATACATAGTAAAAACAAAATCTCATTTCACATATTTAAAAAAAAAAAATCTTCTATTCTTACTCTGCAAGGGATGTGTACAATTTTTTTTTTAAAAAATAGATATTGATACCAGCACATTTGCACAGTTATTTTTGGTAGACAATTGAGATTGAGATGAAAGAAATTTTATTGAGAAATAATCTACCAAGAAAACTATGAGCAACCATGTCACCCAATGGCTTCTTTATAGCTAAGGAGAATCTCCCAAATACTACAAGAATATCCAACTGTGAGGTGCATACTCTTGACCCAAAGGACTTTATTTATAATCCAACAAGCCTTTATTTATAATACTGGAAATAATATTAAGTAAACAGAAATGATCTAGAAAATAATCAGATAACAATCATATAATAATCTATGGAATATTCAACAAGCAATCATATCCTCACAGCTTAAGTTATCAGTGGCTTGATCTTCTACTCGTGCAGTCTTCAGAATAAAAAAAAAATCAGCAAAATTATCTTCTTCCTTTCTTGATCTCTTCTATGTCTAGAATATGTAAGATATGGCCTCTTAAAAGTTAACAGTTTTCCACATGATTCATTATGAGGAGATTTAAAAGTCATATGAACATCACATGATGTCTTATTGTCTTAGACCACCACCACCTTTTAATTTTCTTAATCATTTAAATTATCACATGGCAATCACAGTTTCCAGAAGACTACGTTTTCACTTCTTTTGATATTTTAAATGTTAAACTGGCAACATAAAATTTGTGTGCAAAAGCCAATGGTGTAATTAACCTATTATTCTATAAAGTTATATATAGTTTTGTGCACATGTATATATGAAATATATAGGAAGCCATATTATTCGTAAACAATGAATGGAGCAACTTAACGCTCTTTAGACTCGGCAAAGACCCAGATCTAATTTTACATCTTCTACCTATCTAATATATACTGAATTTTGTAGAAAGCCATTGGCCTTTTACTGTTCATAAGGTCATCCATTGGCTTCATTTTGAGATCCATGACCTTTTCTTTCTTATATTTAATCCTGTCTAGCAGGAAAAAAAAATTAATGCGGTCCAATTTTAAGTATCTTGTGCCTCTGTTAAAAATAAGACAACACAAATTCTCACACTTCATGAATAGACATTGAGAGAAATGAATGAAAGAGAAGAAAACAATCTTACCGAAGTCTCTGTCTTGTTAGATCTGGAAGATTCAACATCATCTCTAGCTGATGATGCTATTGTGTTTTGCTGTAATAACCTAAATTATATATAATATAGATATATATAATTAGCAATTTTTTGGGAGAATCAAAAAGTTCTAGTCCGAGAGATAAGGAGTCTTGGTGGTGGAATAATAGTGTACAGGACAAAATCAAGCATAAGAAGAACTGTTTAAAGCCATACATTTGTGTAACAATGAGGAAAATGGGAGAGGTACCGTATGGCTAAGAAGGAAACTAAGAGAGTTATGGGTGAAGCTCGTTCTAAAGCTTTTGAAGAAATTTATAAGAGCCTTGAGACGAAGGAAGGAGAGCGAAATATTTATAAGATTGCTAAGAGTAGGAAAAAAAAATCAAGAGATCTAAACAGGTAAGGTGTATTAAGGATGAAGAGGGAAGAACTTTAGTTTACAGATGATGAAATTAAAAATAGATGGGAGACTTACTTTTCTAAACTTTTCAATGATGGAGAGGGTTCGTCTAGTAACTTGGAGGATTTAGTAACTGGTGAAGAGAACAAAATTTATCATTCTATCGAATAATACGTGATAAGGAGGTAAAGGAAGCTCTTAAGAAAATGGCAAATGGTAGAGCCAACAGACCTGATTGTATATCTATCGAAGCGTGAAAATGTTTAGGTGAAAGGGGTGAGATGGTTAACTAAGTTATTTAATGTGATTTTATGGTTCAAGAAAATGCCTGATGAGTGAAGGAGAAGTACATTAATTCCTATTTAAAAATAAAGGAGATATTCAAAATTGTACTAACTATAGAGGGATTAAGCTCATGAGCCACACAATGAAATTGTGAGAGAAAGTAATTGAGCACAGGTTGAGATTGGAGACAAGTATTTCTGAGAATCAATTTGGTTTTATGCCAGGTAGATCAACTACAGAGGCGATTTATCTACTAAGGGGATTAATGAAAAAGTATCATTGTAAAGATAAAGATCTACACATAGTTTTAATTGATTTGGAAAAAGCTTATGACCGTATACCAAGAGAAGTGCTTTGGAAAGCGTTAGAAAAAAAGGGAGTACGGATTGCTTATATTAAAGTCATACAAGATATATATGAGGGGGTAAAAACTAGTATAAGAATACCTAGTGGTCCAACAAGGATTTTCCTATAAAGATTGGATTACATCAGGGATCATCTCTGAGTCCTTATTTGTTTAACTTGATCTTAAATGTTTTGACGGAATATATTCAAGGGGAAATTCCGAAATGTATGCTCTTCGCGGATGATATAGTTTCTTATAGCAGAGACAAGAGAAGAGGTTAATTGCAAATTTGAGTTATGGAGGAAGACATTGGAGTCGAAAGGTTTTCGTCTGAGTAGAAGTAAGACGGAATATTTATATTGTAAATTTGGTAAAGGACTATTCGACAATAATTTGGAAGTGAAATTAGGAGATCAAATTATACCTCAAATGAAAAAGTTTAGATATTTGGGAGCCATTATTCAAAATGATGGCGAAATTAGTGGAGATATTTCACATAGAATTTAAGCTGGGTGTTTTAATTGGAGAAAAGCTAAAGGAGTTATTTGCGACCGTAAGGTGCCTAATAAACTTAAAGGAAAGTTTTTATCGTACTGCTATCTAACCGGCAATGTTATATAGTAGTGATACTGGGCTCTAACGAGACAACAAGAGCATAAAATTGGAGTAGCAGAGGTGAGAATGTTACGATGGATGTGCGGACATACACGTAAAGATAAAATTCAAAATGAGCACGTACGCGAAAAAGTGAGGGTGGCACCTATTGAGGAAAAAATGGTAGAAAATCGGTTGAGATGGTTTGGACATGTACAAAGAAGACCAAGGGAGGCACCAGTGAGAAGAGTGGAACATATAACTTTGAGCCCAATTAAGAGAGGTAGAGGAAGGCCTAAGAGAACACTCTTGGAAGTTATTGAACGCGATCTCTTAATTAATAATATTTCTAAAAGCTTGATAAATGATAGAGCACAATGGCGTCTTGCAATCCATGTAGCCAACCCCACCTAGTGGGATAAAGGCTTGTTGTTGTTGTTGTTGTATATATAAAATAAAAAAACAGAGTTTTGGATATTATCTTAGGGGCCATATAAAGCTGATAGATATTTAATATTTAAATAACTTTTAACATGATTAAATTTAATTTAAATTTAGATAAAAATGTTATTATTTTAAATATATAAGGAAACCCTAGACCCATTATATTTTCCTTCATCCTCACAGCCGCAGCACAGTAATTGGATCACTCACATTCCTCTCATTTTCTACAGGTCGGCTCCCGTTCCTCTCTTTCTTCTTTTTCTTTCTTCATTTTTTTTTTTTTGAGTTCCTCCCTCCATTGTTCTTTTATCTTCTTCCTTCCTCGATTTTCTTTAGTAATAGCCACTATTTTGTGCAGTCACGTGGGGCATGGGCATTTCAATGAAAACTTGACTTTCTTGAATTCTTATGTACAATTGGGGGGAAAAAATTGAACAGCTTCCTTTTCCTATTTCAGAACGTTGCTGCCATCCACAAAGCTCGGATTTGGCGATTTATCATTCTGATTTATATATTCAAATTACGAACTTTAGGCTTCATAAGGTAATTCCTACTCTCAATTAGTAATTAAACAAAATAGAAAACTCTTGACTTACAGTAGCAACAGTACCAGGAACTTAGATGAGAAATTAGGATTTAGATATGATAGGAAACGTTTGATTTGAGAAAGAAAACGGATTTTGATTCTTGAAAATTGATGATGATATTATATAAAATATTATCTATAGATGATGCTTGTGAGAGAGTGGTTGAACATAGTTTGAGATTGGATGCTGATATTTTTAAAAACCAATTTAGCTTTATACCAGGAAGGGCAAACTAAAGAAGCAATTTATCTACTAAAAAAAATTAATGAAAAATTATCGATGTAAAGGTAAAAATTTATACATGATTTTCATTAATTTGAAAAAAGCTTATGATTATATTGAGAGAAGTACTTTGAAAAGCCTTGAAAAAGAAGAGAATCCAGGTTGCTTATATTAGAGCTATACAAGATATGTATGAAAAGGCAACAACTAGTATAAGAAAGTGGTGAAACAAAAGACTTTTCTATAAGATTGTACCATATCATGGATCATCTTTAAATCCTTATTTGTTTGACTTGATCTTAGATATTTTGACTGAGCATATTCAAGAAGAAATTTTCAAACGCATACTTTTTGCAAATATATTTCTTATTGCAAAGACAAGAGAAGAGATTAACTATAAACTTGAATTATGGAGAAGGATATTGGAGTCAAAAAGTTTACGCCTAAATAGGAGTAAGACAGAATAGTGTTTGCATTGTAATTTTGATAAGAAGTCAGTTAGTAGTAATTTGAAAGTGAAATTAAAAGATCAGATTATATTTCAAGTGAAAAAGTTTAGATATTTGGGAGCTATTATTCAACGTGATAGGAAATTATGGAGATATTGCACATAAGATATAAGCTGGGTGGTTTAATTAGAAAAAAAAAGCTAAAGGAGTTATTTACAATCATAAGGCACCTATTAAACTTGAAGGGAAGTTTTATCAAACGGCTATAAGACTATGTTATATGAGAACAAGCTAGCAAGAGCATAGAGTTAGAATAGCAGGGAGAAGAATGTTGAGATAGATGTGTAAACATGCATGTAAAAATAAAATTCAAAATGAGCCCAAACAAGAAAAAGTGAGCGTATCACCTATTAAAGGAAAAATAGTAAAAAATCATTTAAAATAATTTGTAAATGTACAAAGAAGTTCACAAGAGACACCAGTGTCAATGTGGAGAGTGGAATGGATAATTTTGGACCTTGATAAGAGAGATAGAGAAAAGCTAAAGAGAACATTTATGAAAGTTATTGATCGAGATCTCTTAGTTAACAACATTTTTAAAAGCTTGGTAAATGATAAAGTACAATAGTGTCATATAATCCATGTAGCCGATCCTATCTAGTAGAATAAGGCTTGTTGTTGTTGTATGCTTGTGAGAACTCTTCAACTGGGGTCAAGCCAAAGTAGCTAAAAAGAGATCTCTTCTAACAATTCCAACAAGTGTGTATAGGTAGTGAAGTGGCATTTTTGTTATCACCTATGTTGGTTTTTCTTGATTCATAAATTTTGATTGTTGTTCTAATCTACTTATTTGGGAAGCAAATCCAAAATTATTTCGATCTGTGTTGCTTCAAGACCATAGAAATTATGATAGCATGTATGTTATTAAAATATTATTATAAATAGATTTTCTTTGAAGTTTTTTAAACTTTTTATAGATAATTTCAATCATCATGTTTTCAAAATTAAATAATTATTTTAAAAGAAAAATGAATTTTCATATTAGTAATTTCTTTTCTCTTCTTAATTTAATTGCACCTTCATTAGATAAGTTATTTAATTATGTCACATGCATGCTATTAGGTAAGACGTTTATTAAATGTATTATTTGAGCGTGATGGCTATTTCCCCATTAGAATAAAAAATATAGGAAATATATACATAATATATTACATGGTAGGTGAGATGGTTATTTCTCGCCAAGAATTGTGAGAAGTGTTCGTGGAAATATTGTTGTGATCCTATGGTGTCATGACTATTATAGGGAATTAGTGTCGTAATGCTGTGCCAGTTCAAAAGTAATATCAAACATCTGTTTGATTGATGCTTGAGTAATTGGTGACCGATTTTGATTACTTTAGTTTATGAGTTTGGTACCTTACGCAAACTACGATTCATTTTTTTATTTTCTTTTGTTCAAAATAAAGGCTAGTTTCTTTTAAACTTTTATACGTTGAGTTGATGTTGTTGGGCTTTGTCTTCGGCTAGTTAGGATAAGTGTGTTTGCGTAGTCTATAATATATGCCGGTCATGGCTCAAACATTGGATCGTGACATCTGCCATCTTGGTTCCACAAAAGAGGCGTTTGAGTCAATAAAAAGTAATTATAACACCACTTTAGTTTTCATATAATTGCGTACAATTATTTACAATTAAAAATATCATCACTTTGTTATTCTGTGTAAATAAGTAAATTATCATAAATTAAGACAATAATTCAAGGAAAAAAAAATATCATTAATAAAATAAGCAACTTATAAAATGAAATATCTATTTTCAGCTTTCACAAACAGAGAATGACAGATTTGAAGTCGAAGGAAAGAAAAAATGCCATACTTTCAGAAATAAAAAAAAGTAAAATAAAAGATGTCTTACCGAGAGCTCCTCATTACTGGATTTGAAAGATTCATTATCATCTTTTTCATTATTAAAAGTGGAAAGTATGCCAGCCTCGAGATTCCCAACCTGAAATTTAAGCTACGCACTTAAACTTTATTTCCTGAATATTTTATTATTCAAGCATCTGCATTTTCAATTAATATTAATATATAGTATAAAAGCAAAATCTTCCCATTTCACCTAAAAGAAAAAGAAAATATTTTTATTTTAAATTTCAAAAAATATCTTACACTCTTGCTTCATTATTTGCATGGGATGAGTACAATTTTTAAAAATATTGATACCTGTGCATTTACACAGGTGTTTTCCACATAATACGTACCTTGGGGAGATTTAAAAGTCACGTGAATATCTAGTGGAACTCCACCATCTTCTAATTTTCTTAATCATTTAAAATATCACGAGGCAATTAATTGCCAAAGATCCTCTGAATTTGTTTTAGTTAAAGTTCCAAGTAAGTTCAGTGCTATTTTAATTTTTTTTTAAAAAAAAAGAATGTAACCTCTTTCCCATATTTCAATTCAGAGTCTATCAACTTCATAAAACTATAGAGGGCACAACTTCAAACAATCTAAATCCCGTAACAATCACAGGTTTCAAAAGACATGTGATGTTTTCACTTATCATATTTAAAAGTTAAAGTGAAATATTTTAAAATTAGCACACCAAAGTTGTAATTAACTTATAATTCAATAAAGTTAAATGCAGTTCTGTACACATGTACTTAAAGTAACTCATTTGTCTATAAATAATTTCAAAAAGACAGTAAGACACAGAATAAATTTTTGCACTCCATGAATAGACAATGAGATTGAGAGCAATGAAACGAGAGGGAAGAAAAAGATGGTTTACCAAAGTTTCTGTCTTGTTGGATCTGGAAGGTTCAACGTCATCTCTTGCTGATAAATCTATTATGTCGGCCATCTTGTTTCCAGTAGAAGTATGGTTTGAGTCAATGATTTTAATAATTATAATATACCTTTACTTTTCAGAAAGTTTGTACAATTTGTCACAATAAAAAATTAAAACAATCCAAACAGGTTGATTCTCATAAATTGAAAAATAATTCATCCAAAACAAGTATATCATTGATGAGGTAAATAACTTCTAAAACAAAATATTTATTTTGCTGACTTCACCAACAGATAATGACAAATAGGGAAGAAAAAGACATCATACTTTAAACCAAAAAATAAAGGGTCCTACCGAGAACTCCTCGTTGTTGGATCTGAAAGATTCATCGTCATCTTTTTCATAACTAAAAGTAGAAAATATGCCAGCCTTCTTGTCAAGATTCTCAACCTGAAATTTGAGTTGCACACTCTATTCCCTGAATATTTCATCTTCCAAACATTTAAACCTATATATAGTATAAAAGCAAAATTTTATTTATGTTGAGGCTTCACTATTTGCATTGAGTTGAGATGGGTACATCTTTTATAGAAATATTGATATTGATGCCCATGAAATTGCACGGTGCTTTCCACGTAATCCAAACTTTGAGGAGATTTAAAAATCAACTTGAACATCATGTGATATCTTATTCAACCATCGTCCTCTTCTAATTTTCTTAATCATTCGAAGTACCAGGTGACAAACACATTTTTTCAAATGACATCACATTTTCACTACTTATGATATTTTGAAAGTTCAAGTGCAACATTTGAAAGTTTGTGTAAAATAGTTCTAATTAAACTATAATTCAATAAAGTTATATGTAGTTCTGCACGTATGTACCTACTCAAAGTAACTAATGTCAATAGATAATTCTGAAATCATGATAAGACTCAACATAAAAGGGAGATAAGACGTCATACCCAAGCCTCTTTTTTGTTGGATCTGGAAGGTTGTTCAACTTCAAGTAATTGATCTAAGATGTCAGTCTCCTCATTTATTGGAGAAAACATATGGTGCAAATAATCTGGCCGGCCTTCTTTGCTCCATTCTGATCCTTCCCATTTTAGAGCATCCCACCACTCTTTCTCTCCTTTGATGACTTTTAAATTTTTGCTTACCAATTCCTTAACAGAAAGAATCTGGAGTTTTGGACAATCATAAAATCCAATACTTTCTAAACTTGGACCAATGCACAATTCATTTGAAATGCTAACCAATTTAGGAAGAAAAAGGAGTGATACTTTTTTAAGACGAGGCAAATAAATCCTTTCTTTGGAATCCACTGATTCAAGACTTATTATGGTGCTCATCATTGGGCAGTCTTCAACTATTAGCTCCTCCAAGTTCACAAGACTCCCAAGAAAATTCAATGTAAAGATGCTTGTTAACTTGGGGCAATTGTGCAATTGTATGATCTTCAGTGAGTAAAAGTAGGCTTCCCCTCACAAAAGCTTATCAGATGGTTCATACAAAATAAGCACAAGAATCCCCAACGTAAATCAGAACGGATTGAAGATCCTCCATCAATTAGGGTTTGCGTATTGTTACATTCCCCCACTATGAGTGATTGCAGATGTGCTAGACTTCCTTTATCAATTTGAGAGAGATATCTCGATTGTGCTATGCCGCTCCAAAAAAACAGCCTTGCTGCGTCGAATAACCTCAACGATGTCATCTGATATGTGCACATCATTAACAAATCTTAAGCTATAACTATGTTGCTTGAATTTTGACTCAATTGCAGGTGGTACACGTGATATGATCCTCGGCTGGATATTGTGACCAACAATAAATCTGAAATCCAATCGTTGTGGGACATACTTCAAAAGTTCACCCTGTGGGATTTTAAATTCAAAATATTCAATTTCTGTAATTTAAAAATGTCATGTAAAATGACTGCAATGCTCTCATCCCAGCACTTGTTATCAAGATTTACATCAATGTGTAAATAAAGTAATTGCGTCAATTTAGATATTACCCCAGGAGGAATTGGATATTGATGACATGTATAAAACGATATAATCAACTTTTTCAACTTTGTCAGCTCTTGAATATCCTTGGGAACATATGTAATCGGAGTACTATCAAGATCAAGAATCTCAAGATTCTTAAGTTCTCCAATTTCCGGTGGCAATTCCATAAGACGCTTACATCCCTTTAAATACAATTCTCCAAGCTCTTTTAAATGGAATAAAGAATTGGGCAAACTCTTTATGCTTGTGTAGGATAAGTCCAAGACATAAAGATGAGGCATAAAACTAAAAAATATGGGTGGAATTTCCATCAAGTTAGTATTGCCTTGTAACAGCAATTAAGTCCATCCAGGGCAATCCATGTTCAATGGTAGCTCTGACAGCTTATTGTCCATTCACTCAATATGCCTGGCCAAAACCCATTCTGTAGTGATTTGCAACTCAGTCAATCCCAAGCCACCTTTCTTTATTTTGTGTAATGGGTCTAACATGAGCAAGGACTTCAAGACATCATAGGTTTCTCTTGGCCATTGAATATACTTTTGTTCTGATTTAAGAAAAATATATCGATCCACAAAATCACTAAGAATGAGCTCAGCTTCTTCTCGCGAGTAGACTAATTTATTATAAACCCAACTGGATATTATGAGATGCTCTGCCATTTTTTCCTCAAGTCTGAGTACAAATAAAGAGCACGCAAGACAAAGCTTGTCTGTCTTATTCAAATCATTCCAGATAATGTTTATAAATGCATTCATCATAACATCATTCATATCATCATGAATTCTACTGGTATGTAAAGGATGAAGGTCATGCAATTTCTCCAGTGCAAGTTCCCAAAGCGCAACATTTTTCATGTTCTTCAATGATCTTGCCACAAGAACAATGGCAAGAAGATGGTCACGACACTTCTCAACAATTTGCACAGCAATTCTTCGGATGTCACTTGATGAAAGTATAAGTTCCCTACCTACAGCTCTGCAGAAGATTTCCCATGGCATCAGATGATCCTCTGTCTTAATTTCAAGATCCATTCCCATCAACAATTCATCATGTTCCTGAAGCGATGATTCAATGGTTAATAACACAACAGCACATGCTAACATATTCTTAGGGAATCCTGCTTTCCAAGGGTCAATGTTTCCTTTGCCATTGCCATCCACTAGAAACGCTAAATGGTTCATTCTCGTCATCTCAACCTCAAGGAGTCTTCTGAGCAAAATATCATCATTTTCTGCCTGATCCCCTTTGCTTGTCACAAGGTCAAGCTGTTTTGCAATCTCTTGTCTAATTTGAACTTCTGTATTGCTTGAATAATCTGATGCATAAACCCATAAAACTCTAGAATATTTGTTACCAATGGTAGTTCCATTGTACTCGTAATTCAAAGCTGCTTTTATTTTTCTTACCACATCTACTTTTTCAAATCCATTTCTTGTTGAGAACACAACACGATGAATGTTGTGACTAAGTAAAGTTTGAATCAGTTGGTCAACAGCAAGATCAGCGGCTAAATTGAGAATAGCTTCTGGAATCATGTTATGGACATAATCCCATTCAAGCACTTCTTTCCCTTTGCTTATGCTGTTAGAAGCTACTGCCTCTCCTGATAGAGTGGCAATATTTTCATCAAATATGGATCTCCGACCTTCTTCTATCTTACTAAGTATGTCATTTGGTATAAGTACTTCCAAATTTTTCAATGGTTTTTCACAAAGCAAGTGCATCCAACGGTAAGCACCAGATGATTTTATTCCAATGCGATCCATGTCTTCAAAATACTTGGCAGTAGCTGCTTGAGCATCATCTCTCCATTTTTCTAACAAGTGTTGGTCCGGCAGTATCATGGGATACATTAAAATGAGGCTCAAAAAATCCCTTATTCTCACCAGCCTTAAGAATTCATGTTTTAAAATCTCCTCAAGTCTGCACCAACGTTTATGTTTTGCCTCTGTGATTTCTAGCGCAAGTTCATCTTTGTCGTTGACTTCAGAACTCATTTGTTTGCTCATCTCTATCCTCCAGAAGAAAATTAGCAGGAGGAATTTAAAATAGTAAGAACTGAAAAGAAAAGGGTTTACAGAATAATAACTAATAAGAAGTCAAGAAATATAGAAGACTCAATTAGCAATCCAATGAATTATTTGGTATCGTTCAAGTTAAGGTTGAGATACAGGCAAAACATAAATACAGTGTGCATATGCTTTTTATTAGTTCATGAAGTGTGTGTTTGGAAATCCATGAGATTTATGTGAGAGTAGTTTTATCTCGTAAGTTGCAAAATTGATTTTGCAACGTGTTACCAATCAAACAGTAATTAAATTAGTGAAGGACGCGATATTAAGGTACATAAATATCCATATGTTATCTCTTTTTAAAGAACTGAAAAACATTCCAAAAATTGAAGATAATGAAGAAATCAGAGACCAGAAGCTTCAGGGAGTCTTTGACTTGCTCTCGAAAACTGAAGAGCCTGGCACTGGACTCACAACACTTCTTGGTATTTATAGACAAGATTAGACAACCTTTGGACAGCCTGAAAGCATGATTTAATTACTAGTTTCATGAACATTATGGCTCATTACACTAATTCATTATGACGGTTTCTAAATGTTGCATTTGAAGACAATTAAAGAAATCAATTTTCAGTTTTAATAGCCTTAAATAGTGTTTAATATTATTAATAAAAATATTTTTTGAAATACCAATATATATTTTTAAAATATCCAATAGGAATTGCCTTTGCAATCTAATGAAATTCTCTGCGATGCCCATTTTTGACCATATATTCACCAATCTTTGCCCCAACCCATATTAGCTTGTCTGGCCTATTCGTGGATGACAGAGGTATAGATTCAATTAACTGCAACATTTGGTTACTAGTTTGCCTAACTATTAGTGATAAATCCCATTTACCATTAGAAATAACGGACATAACTGTAAGAGCTTCATTGATTACAACACCTGCAACCCGAGCTAGCTTAAAATTATGGGGCCTCAGAATCCAAGGGTCTTTCCAGAACTTAATATATGTGCCATTCCCCACTTGCTAGCACAAATCCTTGACCAATAAATCTCTACCAGCCAAAACGCTATCTTCTAACCAAGACACATTAGGCCCTTTTTTTCACATTGAGAAAGGAGCAATTCAGAAACTAGGTTTTCTTAAGAACCTTAGCCCACATGCTATCAAGAAATTGACGTACTCTCCAAGCCATTTTGGCTAAAAGAGTATCGTTGAGTCTTATGAAATCCTTAAAACCCAGGCTGCCTTCATGCTTTGCAAGATTCAAATACCCTTGTCCTTCTAGTGGATGCCCCAACCTTTATCATCATTATCCCAGTAAAAGTTTGAGACTAATTTGTTTAGTTTGACACGTGTGCTTCGGGAACTTAAAGCAAGACATAGGGAAAATGGGTATTGCATTAATCACTGCTTTAATCATAACTTCCCTGCCAGAGAAAGACAGAAGTGTCTGCTGCCGCCCTTGCACTTCCCTTCCAACCTTGTCTCTTACTGCATTTTTTTTATCTGCCCCATAAGACAAGGAGGCCAAGATAGTGACCAAGGTCATCGACTCCATCTATATTCAAAGCTGCAATGACATTCTCCCTAATATAGTAATATTAGTAAGGGTATTAGCTGAAAAAAGAGAGACTGGACTTGTCACAATTGATCTTTTGACCTGAGGCAGGACAATATGCTTCCAAGAGATATTTAAAAGTAGTGCAATTGTGAATATCAGCATTCAAAAAAATGAGACTATCATCAGCAAATAAACAATGAGTTAACCTTAGACACGATCTTGTAATATTTATTCCTACCAAGTCACCCATATATACTAGCATGCTTTTGTAGCATATTGGAAAATACCTCAGAGGCTATAATAAACAGATAAGGGGAGAGAGGATCCCCTTGCTGGATGCCCCTGTTAGGATTAATTTCAGCCATCGCTCTACCAGAAAGTACATAATATTAAAATTAAATATACATTAATACTAAACCTAAATAAAAGTTATTTAAATAAATCCAAATTATTAAACAAAACAACACCATGATTTATGATAAATCTAACCAATGACAACAATAAGCCAACAACACGTTACTGACAATATTACAGTCAATACTCTATAGAAAATTGGTAAGGAAAAATGACAGTTAAATCCCAAGGGGATCAATTATTTAAATTACATCCAAATCAATTTCAAAGTACCAATAATGTAACATCCCAAAATTTATGATATGATCAATTAAAACTATTTAAAGGGTTAAGATAATTAATCTAGATTCCAATGGGATTAATTAAAGTAGTTTACATGACCATTGAGTTAATGGGACCCTATATGGGAGTTAAAATCGAACCCTAGGTATAATTGGGCCACTTTAAGCCCAATTTAATGGGTTTGAGTAAGAGTTTTGTTTTTTGCCATTCACCACAATAGGTGAGACAAAATTTTAAATTTATAGAATGCAAATCAAGCAACAAAAACAGAAGAGAGTTTGAGAGAGAAATAGAGGAAAGGAGTGCGGTTGTGTTAGGGTTTGCACTTTAGGGGTGCTTGAAGGTAATTTCAAGCTATCTACACCTTGAGCAAGTCCTTTTTCCTTTTATCCTCTCTCCTTCTACACAATTTCTTCAAGTTTTTAGGGCTATGGTAATGTTGTTTGAATTTCCAGCAAGTTTTCACCCACTCTAATGGAGTTTAAGGGTGTTGTTTTGAGGTTTTAATCATTAGTTATTGTTAATGGCAGTGGCTAGAATCGTTAATGATGGGTTTGAGATTAACCATAGCACTAATTAATCAAGTTTAAGCTAATACAATGGGTTAACAATGTTAGTTAAGTTTAATATAGGTTAAATAAGCTAAGGAAAGTTGAATGAAATTGTTTATTGTTAACATTGCTAATTAGAGTCCTAGGCTTTAATCACAATTAAGAACTAATTAATGAAAATTAGTCATTAATGATGTTTGTTACTCATAAACTATATATTAACTACTATTAGAGCTCGTGGATTGTTTGTGAGCTTTCTCAAAATCCAAATTGTACTCTTGGTGTGATAAACCAAGAGTTGAGATAATCAGGAGTTAAAGTATAGCATATGTTTGTGTCTACAATTATGAGCTTGATTGATGATATATGAATGAATGAACGATTTTATGGTATTCTATTGAAAATATATGTGTGAACAAGGCTTGAGGTTTATGATATGAGTTATGTAATGGATGAGTATATTTCACTTGATTGGATGGGTTTAATGTTGGTTGCTTAAGCATGACTTCTTGTTGATAATGTGATTGGATGTAAATTATTGAATATGGTTGTGATTATATGATTTCTTGAGTATGAGGATGATTAGGAGACAATTAAGTATGGTTATGGCTATGAAATGTCATTGTATATAAAATGATGAACACGCAATGTGATAACATGTGTATGTGTAACACAATATGATAATGGAAATGTGACTTAATGTTTTTTTACTAAACATGGCCATGGATTTATTATTTAATGAGCATAGATATGATCATCTTAATGAATGAATATGATTGTGATTGAGAACATATAATTACATATGAACTGAATTTGCATGATTACAAATGGGTAGGAGTTTGTCCAAAAAAGTAAGGTGTTATGGAAATTCATATGGTACTCACCAATATAGTGAGGCCTCATTATTTTCATTCCTGATTAATTCCCTAAACTAGTTGTTGCCCTGAACTGGGTAGAGTGACATCTTATGAGTTTGAAATGAGAAAATCCATAGTTCGAGAGTGAGTACGAGGCCTTAGCTAAGCCACCCCTTATAATTAGATAGTGGGACTAATTTGGTCATACAAGTTAGTCTTATATGATTTGATAACCTATGGATTTGGTTAGAAGATATAAGAAGAGTAATAAGGTTGAAGCATGATCATGCATAATTATCATTATTTTCTCACATGTTTTGTGGTCATGACTATGTCATTATGATACATGTTAGATGATTATGGAATTGATAAATGGGAACACCCACACACCTTCTTTAATTTCTTTTATGTGTCACATGCTCATGTGTTTAAATTTATGTGCTTGGTTATTGAGATTATATAATCTCATTCCCATGGTTTAATAATTTCTAGGTTGCACTCAGATTCAAGACAAAGGGAAGTAAGTGAATGAAATGTCTCTAGTCATTCATTTTTTTTTGACCAAAATGTCTTTAGTTATTCTTAGTATATAAATGAATATTTTATTGCCAACATTAAAGGTCATTTGCATGTATTTAATTGTAACTTGCATATAAGCATAATTTGTAGACTTAACCTTTGTTGGCATTGGTCTTTTGATATTTTGAAAATGGATTGGTGATGTAAATGTGCTATTATGGATTAAATGTGGACAGACTTATCTATTCTCCTAAATGATAGTAAGATCTAGTAAGCTTTAGAAGGTGAAACATGAATGTGCAGGCTCATAGTCATGAGTTAAATGTTAATTATATGCATTTATGCATAATAAGTTAGTAGGTTTAGTTATGCATGCATAAAATATTATATTGTCTATGGTTAATGGAAACATTTGGGTTAGAGATACTTGGGGATTTTGGATAGTGAGACATGTTTTCTTTTCTACCATCCTAGGTGTCTAAATCCCTCATTTGCTATCGAATGATAAGGACTAATACCGTTTGCTAGTTTACTTATTTGTCTTTGTGTGGATGCTTGGATCTCGTCAATTGGAGGTTCGAGCTTAAAGTTAGACGCCTCAAAAGTTGGACTTTAAATGTTGTCTATTCTATACTATCACAACCAATTGGTTCAAGTGAAAGCCTCTCTTAGTCGTGACGAATGATATAATGAGTTTTAGCCATGGCAAACGATGGGTTTGGCTACAACATAACATACCTTTGGTCGTGGCAAATAGCCTCTATGCCACAAGCTACTAGAGCTAGGAATTTAAGCTGGCCAAGCTTATTTAAGTTTGGCTCAAATAAGCCTGACTCAAAAAGGCTTGAACTTAAACAAGCTTGACTCTCTGAAAAGTCCGAATGGCCAAATTGGGCTCGAATTCCTTTGAGTTTTGGGCAACCTGAGTACCCAAATTTTATTTTTAAAGTTATTTTTAATTAAATTTTTTTACTTTAAAATTAATTATTTTATTTTATAAAAATATAAAATATATTGGTTAGATACTTAAACGATGCATAGGACTCAAAAATTTTTTAAAAAAATAGATGGGTCTTAAAATATAAAAATTAATATTAAAATGTATTTTAAATATTATTTTGAGATATCTTATAGATTAAAAATAATAAAAATATGACAACATAAATATTTTTGTTTTTTTAAATATCCATAGTAATTTACTCAAATATATAATATTTTAGTATAAAATGACCTAAAACTTAAATAATTAATTAATATTTATTATATTTTATATATTTTTTTAAAAATATAACT